ATGAGGCGGCTTGCGTGCTGGCTGGGACGCCTCCCTGGGAACTGGATGCCCAGGTTCTGGCGGAGGTTTTCCACCAGCGCGCGCGAGATCGATCCCGGGGAACGAGTCCGGACCGGGATCGGGTGGATAGTTGGCGACGATCTGCGCGGTCGTCCTTGTTCCATCGGTGGAGGCAAAGGCTCTCTGAGCCAGTGGCCGGGTTGCGAACCGTGGAGGCTATTCGCCCGCTCCTCATGGAGTGGGTGGACCGCCGACACGGTTCCTTGACCTTCCGGCTGGTGCAGATCCTCTCGGGGCACGGTTGCTTCGGGAGGTATTTGTGCCACATAGTCGGGAGAGAGCCGACAGCGACGTGTCACCACTGCAGTCGCGTGGAAGACACCGCTGACCACACCTTGATGGAATGTCCAGCGTGGATATCCGAGCGTAGCCAACTCATCCGCGTGGTTGGCGCAGACCTTTCGTTGCCGGCAGTGGTCCAGGCCATGGTCGGCAGCGAGAGGGCATGGCAGGCGGTGGCCGACTTCAGCGAGAGAGTCATCTTGCAGAAGGAGGCTGCTGAACGAGTGAGGGAAGACGACCCCTCCTCGGCGCCGCTGCGCCGACGAAGGCTGGGTCGAAGGCAGCGGGCTTATGCTCGCGACATGCCTCCCCAGTGAGGAAGCCTCCGGGCGTCGGTGGGGAACCGGCGTCCGGGTAACATAGGCTAGAGGAAGAGCGGCGTGTTTGGCGTTCCCGGCACGCTGCTCTTGAGTCGGAGGGGTGGTGTGGTCAGCCACTGATACCCCTGCCGATGGCGGAGTCCCTTTCGGGACTCGTGCGTAGTGAGCGGAAGTATGGCTTGCCGTTCCCGCTCACTAGTCTACGCACAGCGCAGAGAACGTCGAGGTGGTTTAGTGGGTGGAAATCCCACATGCCCCTGTCGCGTTTCCCCCGCGGCAGGAAGTCTTTAAAAGATTCCCCTCGTAGAAAAAAAAAAAAAAAAAAAAAAAAAAAAAAAAAAAAAAAAAAAAATATTTAAGATCTAAAGAAAAGAATTTAATAGAAATAAGTAAATAAAGTACAAAAAACAATGTTGTTAATGAATGTCATCTTTAGTCTGTAAAGATTTCCGCTACATTTAACAATTAAGAAGCGATGAAGAGAAACTGAGAAAAAGATACTATCACTCACAAACAACTCTCTCTAACTTTCATGGCAGTTTACTTTCTTTAAAAGAGAGCTTGAGACCTAAAAATAAGTAACAGGGATAAAAATACATAACATAAAATTATTTAAAAATAATCATCACTTAGTTACTAATGATTAAAGTTGTGATTTTTATTGGCCCATCACTATCATCGATATCTATAATACTAAATTATCTATATATAATAATATACATTCATTAAATACAACAGTAGATAATAATATTATTATACGAATCTATATTATGTTGTGTACATTTATATTTGTATTGAAATATAAAGCTAAACAAGATACCCTAGATTAAATGAACTCGTCGCAAGACGCACTCATGTCGCATTTCACAAAATGATTGCATCCGCCTTTTAAGGAATAAAACGGGATTACAAATGGATCTTGAAATTGGAAGGGACGATGTCAGTTTTGATGGCGAGTGTTACATAGTGTTTAATGGTGTGAATGCATCTGTGAATAGAAGTTTAAGAGGTAAGTTTACTTATATAATACTAATTTATATATTCCTTCAACTCATTATGACTATTTGTATTATGTTTTATAATTAATGTTATATAAAATTTACGATTTCTCACTCGAAAAATCAATTATTACTAAATATTAATAATATTATTTTATTAAGGACACAAAACTTAAAATTTTGCATGCAAAAACCCCTCGATAGAAGTAATAAGTATTAATAAGGATAAAATTGAATAGTCCAACGGGAAGATCTTAAAAACGTGTAAATAAAATTATAAAATACTTTATCAGTACATATTATGTGGACTCAGACAGGAGAAACTTTATATGTTATACTAAATACAACTTATTGAGGAAATCATAATATATTATATACGATAATTATATTATAATTGTAATAAGAACTTTAATAGCTATTATGCATTCATTCGTAATAATAAAAACTATAATTCAGATCCCAATTGAATTTATAACAATTTATATTAATTTATCCGTCACTAACTTAATTTATTCAAATATAATCTGCTGATCTACACAATATGCAGCGAATAAATTAGTTAAATACTTAAGAATCTTTATGATGTACGCACGAAATTCGCTATATATTTTTTGTATATTGTACCTCATAGGACCTTATAAACCTGTTTTGTCCAAAATTATCAAAATATCATATTTATAACCTGTGTACATCAATGTTTCTCCTGCATAGGTAAAATCAAGTAGTCACAATAAGTTTCCTTATGATACGAATGTACTCGTATGTGGCCGAAGGTACTTACTCATTTTCCCTTTTCTTCCCATAAAAAAATTTCCATGATAAATATTTCTCTAGCACCTTGTTTTTCATAGTTGCTTAGAATTATAAATTAATGATAAGACCATGTTTTGAATCTATGTTAGTCTAACAACATCCCCCATAACTTAGACTGTTGTTAACTAGAATTTCTATTCAACATAGCTCAAAGTTGATTTTATTTTTGAATCAAGTTATTCCAAAACTGGTATTCATTAAATAATCAAATAATCTTGTCCCTTATCAGATGGCCTTAAAGTAAGTATAAGTTATAACTTCAGTATATATTAAAATAAAAAATATTTTTTAAAATATATATTTTTTTGTATTTTCAAGTAACAAACTAATTTAATGACAATAACTCGAGGCAAATACTATTAATAAAATAAAAATACTTTTTCTTTCAATATTTGTAAGAAAATTATATATAATTTGGAATAAAATTCAGACAACACCGAACATACAATATGTCGTCCGGTTTAAAAAATTAGATTTTTTGTCTTGTAACCAATATAGTGTTAAATAGCTCTATTTTGTTAAAAAAATGCGCTCTTTAACTTTAATATTTTTATTTATTTACTTGAGACTGTGCCAATTATTCAAAAAAATTAACGTTTCAAATTTTGATATGAAATCTTTTAATAATTAAAAAACTCGACCTAATATCCGAAAGAGACTCAAAGTACTACAAATAAAACACATTTTATAAGCAGAGTATATCGCAAAATAAAAAACATACAACCATTCAGCTTTCACTTAAGCTGTTGCAAATCTATGGAAATTGTTAGTTTTGGAAAAAATCTAAAATTAAAAATCATCTCATAGACTTATAAATTATAATAATGTGGAATATTTCAAAATCCAATAATTCTCAAACAGATTACTGAATAGCCTTGCCCCTAATAGTTAAATGATTATTTGTCGTTGAGTATCGTCCTTATAAATGCAAAACAAGTTGATTAAAACTAAAAGAGTAAATATTACAATACAGAAAACTAAAAAAATAACTTTTAAGAAAGAAGAAAAATAATTATTTACAATTAGGTTTTTTTATATCAAACGTGGCAAACGAGCAGACGGCCTACTTGATGGAAGTAGTTAACGTTGCCTATTAACATCTGTAACATAAGAGATGTTATGGATGCGTTGCCAACCTTGGTTGAAGAAGAAGGGGAAAAGGATGGAAATATGGAGAAGACAGGAAAGGGTGGGAAAAGATAAAGGGACACTGGCTCTCTCAGTCATCAGACGTAATGTGGCCATTAGAGACTAATTTACACGATTTTTTTGAGAATGGGTGGTACTTTCCCGGTCAAAACAACCCATGTCGAAACTGTAGTAACTTCGCCTTAGTTAGGCTCTACCACCTTTAGAATAAGGTTTCAATTGTAATAGTTAACTATTCTTAAATATTCTTATATCTACTATTCTTATACCTATATAAATATAGGAATAAAGTAACGAGAAAACTAAATGTATAAAATTAATTTTCAAAGGGAAAAGACAATCAGACAAACATGATATATTTAAAATTAATATTAAGAAATAATCACAAACAGTCTAATACAACGATGTATTTTTCTATGAGATAAATAACATATCGTGTTCTCAATTAGCTTTTGATAGTAAATAATCTTTCACGAATTTAAAAAATATAATTATTATCATTCTAATTAGAGTTGTATTGGTTTTAAAATTCTATAGTTATATTTTATAATGTCATTATTATAAGCACTGTTAGATCAAAATAAAATAAATAAATAAACTTGTGAGTAATGATGATCAATAAAATGGATAACGAGAGATGGATAATATTTTCAGTCCACTTAAACGAACCCAAGTTAGTTAAAAAAATACGTATTAGATGTAGAAACAATAGAAATTTTGAATAATTTTTGGTGTAATTACCTGCATCTAAGTATATGACATTGCAGAAAATACTTGTCTCGGAAGACAAATTAAAGCTCATTATTATTTTAGGGAAAAAGGATTTGAGTCTTCTCAATTTTGAAGTATTAGGAGAACTTAATCTAATATATATTATAGACCAACAACAATGTGTCGGGGAGGATATTAAATCTCAATATTTTGTGTTTATATTACAATTGAATAAAGCGTAAAATAAGATACATTCAGACAAATGGTCATTCATTACACACTTATTTGAACCATACCAGAGTAAGTAAGTGATTAACTCTTTAAATAAGGTGTGGAGCGTGCCTATAAACATAATTTGCGTTATTTATAAAAAGTGATAAGATGAACGCACACACAAAGACGCTCGAGTAAATTGATTATTTTCCAATTACTAAAACAAATATTATACAATATTAATTCAATGCATTATCAACACATTACAGCTATCATCCGACTCATTGCACTTTAAAAACATTGCAAGATACAAAACTCAATTCACAACCGTAGCGGGACCCACTTATCATATGATGTGGCAAACTTCTCTCATGGAGTCGCTGGTTCGCAACGGAACATGACGGGCGTGTTCTTAATGAAAAGTAATTTATTATTCGTGTATTAAAATATAAAAATGGATGTTGAAAGTGCATTGAGAAATGATCGTTCATTGTGTCCGCTGACTTACACGGATCTTGGTTGCAGTGTTAAGAGTTAGTATAGACTTTTGTGGTATTATTATTGCATACATATGAAAGTCGAAAGTTAAGTTGGGTTAAGACTCGCTCTTAAACTATGTAAATTTTGTATATTACCTAGGATATATAGTAGTTTTTTTAGGTTAAATATTTATAATATTATAGTAAATGATATTAAACATAACATCAATCTAGGAGAAGAATAAAAAAACAGACAAAAACTTTATTACAATATTTTATTTTTAAAACTGTCGTGTTTTTGTTAATTACACGGTTATTATAAGTAATAATTACTTCATTAATATTAATTAATTAACATCAGTAATTTCATAGTATGTTTAAAATACGTAATGCATATTGGGACGCATGCACAAGCAATTTCTCTTGCAACATGACAACTATCGTAACAATTTGTTTACGGTATATTTTATTTACTATTTGTATAGTAATATATTTACCAACTTGAATAAATATACCAATTATATTCGAAACAAAAAACTGTACCTACATTATTAATAAAAGAAATATGTCTTGAAAATTTTCGGGAAACTGCTCAAGAAGCGTTAAAGACCAATCTTAACATTCAGTTCATTGCATTGGTTTTTTAAATTAAACTATTATATTTTATTTAAATTTTATTTTACACTAAAGAAACTTACATTAAGCAGGTACAGAAAAGTCTTGAGATAAACTTAAGTTACTTCATTCAAGGTCAACGTTAGAATAATAAACACGTGCTTAGAGAACCAAACGACATTTTAAGGGATATTACTATGTATAAATTTATATATATATTATTTTTATATTAAGATGTTTACATGTATATATTGTTTCCAAATACTACTCGGTGTATATATAAGTGAAAAGTGACCACACTTAATTTTTATAAACTAAAAGTATGCGTTGTCAAATATCTTGTTATATATTAACAATCTTTTGAAAATACTATACTTACTATTATAAAAGAAATGCAATATGATAATAAATTTTTATCTGAAATTTTAAAGATACATATTCAGATATTTAAAATAAACTAACAAAACTTAATATTAATATGACCTAATTATGTATATTGAAATATGATTGATTAACAATGAATTAAAGGTTCGTTTGGTTTATATATTATTAACTACTTATCTTTATTTAATAATGCACATTGTAATTATATATAAATCTATTATCTTTATATTTAACAACAAAATTTTAAGTTAAAACTGGTCATACATTTTATTTTTATATACTGCGACGATAATGTGCCCATTTTAACATTAACAACCAATTCACATAAGCAAAGCATACGACTGTATTATTAAATATTTTCTTCATTATCAGCTTTATTAATTCAAACAATAAGTTTTATTTGAACATAGTCAACAAATATCGAAACACTTAAACAATATTAAAATAAACGATAAACAATAAAGATTATAAATTGCGGTCAATATTTGTACAAAGAATTATATGTTTACTATCATATTTCCCTTATCTATGTTGCGTTAAACAACTTCCGAAATATAGATAACATTCAAATATCTGACTTCCAATTGCAATTATTTTCATCTAATTTTTATAAAAAAGAAATCCTTATTACAAATTAATTAATATAACTATGTGGTGAATAATTAAAATCGGTATTTTTCCGACGATTTTATCACGAAATTTAATTTAATGGAATTTAAGAATGTTCTTAATTAATACCATATAGTAACGGCAATCAACTTAGTAAAGCAAATCACCTTTACCTAGTTTTCAGTCTTGGCCTAGTTGGGGACTAATCATTTAGGCAAGAAGCGTCCCTAGTACATCTCACCGTGAGAAAAATTGTGCTTAAAGATGTAGCATAATTTAGAGATACTATAACCATTAAAAAGAGGGGTTGTTAAAGAATTTACATTAACACAGATGGATATTGTATCGAAACCAGCCTTAAGACTTAGCTAGTTCTGCTTCAGAAGAAAGGAGATCGGTGATTTTGTTTTTGGATAAGTCTATAAGAAATATTACTGTTCCACGACTTGAAATAAACGTTGTTTTCCTATTTATAAATTCTTGTCTGTATGTACTATCCTACATGATATTTTTACAACGAAACCGCAAATTTACTTAAATGAGCAAATTTGCGGTTTCGTTCCTGAATTTAAGATTGAATTCTTAATTTAGGATTCAATTATTTCATAAATTAAGATTAAACTCTATAAGTTAAATCAAATCATTTAGGTAAAAAGACGAAAAATGTTCAACCGATGTTTTTACTTAACTTAAAGGTGGAATGATATTGTTAGTATAATACAAATTCATTAATATATGTATACCGATTATTCCGCAGATACGCAAGATCAGACCGGTTTATTTATTAAAGAAATATTATTTAACTGGCCCACAAAAAATACATCTTCTTATACTTTTTTATATTATAGTACTTCATACTTTTTTACATTATCCTTTTTTATATTGTATAGATTTTTTTATTTTAAAAATTTAATATTTATTGTTCACTATCATTGATTAACCTTCTGTTGTAGAGTTTAACAGTTTTGCGTGTCATATTTGGTAGTATTTGATAAGTGTTTCAATGTAAACAATATAATTGGTGCGGACCGTTAGTGCATACATATGTATATACAACCAAAGATTTCCCTGAAAAGTAGAGCGAAAACATTTTGCCGATTAAAAATTTAAGTTATTAGTGGCTTAAGCCCAAAGATGTGAATAGTATTACATGAAAGCTAACTGACATTTTGTAAACTTGTAGCTGGTTTCCAAAAAGGCCTCCTTAATTGTTTTGCTCACAAAAATCTTGTTAAGACTTGCTTTTTAAATGACGAAGGATCTGGACTACGCTCCATTTCTCAACATCATCTCTTTTCAAAGTACATATACTTATTTTTTTCTGCAAAACCTCAAACTTATGTATACGTGGAGTTCAATTGCACTAAATTAAATTGATTTCTAGCAGAGATATTCATCAGATTTTGATTTCAAACACAAGTATATTTCATCAATCACTAATCACTCCATAGCAATATTAGCACTTGCAGAGGAAAAGAAAACACCATGATTGTTATGATTGATATCCTTGAGAAGAAAATGTAAAGTATTTTAGAATAGAAGGATTCATAAACTTAGATTTAGAGCAAAACACAATCAAAACGGGCCCTAATATTAATATGCAAGAGAAGAGTTTAGACTCAATTGAATTAATCGGAAGACCAGGACTTTGTGCTAAATTTTTTATTTCTACTTTACCTGTTAAAATTGAGGGTAGAGAATGTCTTGCTCACACTGGATAAATAACTCGTCTCCCATACTTCGTGGAATGGCTTAAGGAAATTTTTCAGACACCCTTATCAAAAGGCCTAAAACAACTAGTTTCAAATGGATGCCGCTTGAAATTTGTACCCTATTCTGGTAGTCACTGTTAATAAATCTTCTCGGAATTGTTTCTTGTAGTCTTTTTGATTATTGAATTGTTTCTGAATATTTTTAATTACTTTTATGAATATACTCTTTTGTATAGGGAAGCTTTTAAGACAGTGTTTTTTGATTCTGCTCATATAATACATACTACATCATGTTTACTACTACCATTTCTAGATCATTTTTGTTATTATAGGGCTATTTTTTTAAGATGTTTAGGGCAAATAATAATATCATAGAAGAGATAAGACTAAAGGCGTTCTTAAAAAAAAAAACAAGCCCAAAGGTATCCGGATTACAAAAAGCATTCCATTAAATGTGCAAAACAATATCTATCACAAGACGAACATAAAAGGAGAGATGGTAATCTTCAAAAATGATTAAAAAAAATAGTATTGGTGTAAAAAATACTGACTAACATAATTATAACTATTTTTAAAATTACTTCTCATTAATATTAATATAATAACATAACAAAGGATAACCTAACACAATCGTGCACAACAATGTAATTATGTCATTCGCTACATACCTGAATAAAAAGGTAAATGACCTTACATAAGTTCTTAAGTTTATTGAGTTGATCAACGAGATTCGCAAGTTTTTTGTTTCTATTAACACCTGGCATTCAAAATTTACAACGTAATACTTCATTACAGGATATCATAAAAATTTGTAGTGACCTAAAGGCAGTTAAAACAAGTTTGTTACATAGTTCGTGTGTTACTCCAAGGTTGTTTATTAAAATTTACTCAATCGATAAACTTTCGATTCTGGTTTTGGTTTAGGCTTCTCCTTAACGAACTAACCTTCGGTTAAACATGAATGCAAATTCGACTTGATTAATATCCTAACAAGGACAAAAACATGTACAAGAACCATTTTAATTGGGAAAATTATATCTTAGAACTTTATTATTACAGTTTATTTACATTTTTCTCGAACAAGACAATTTATTTAACCTATCACAAAACTATTGACCAATCAAAAACCTTAACTCTGTCGGACAAACCTCTACGCCTTACTGGCTCTGAGGAATTCGTAGTTGAAATCCAAACCAAAATGACATACTAATGTAAAATAGTTACACCGAAGACTTTATCACTAATACATTTTAAAAATAATGCTGATATTTACAGTTTATAAGTTAGATTTTTGTAATTTTAGGATAAGGTTAGAATTTAGGATAAGAATAACATTGGATTAAAAAATAAAGAGTTCCAGTTTCTTTATCAACTAAGCTATTGTTGTGAATGTGTATGTAGTTAAGCATCTCATTCAAAATATTTTATTTGAATTTTAATTCAAATTTATGACCAAGTTTTTTAAGTTAGATAACCTAATTAGCACATTCTCAATGTATTTTAAGTGGGAAAGATGATGAATTAATAGCCTTGACCATTGACTTGTTCGGGCTCGAAGATAACAAAGACAAGTGAACGGCTATTTATTAAACGTACAAAAGGTCTTAAATCGCCTATAGTAAATATGACTATAAAATATTATTTACAAAATAATAAACCAATATGTTTTTTTCAGGCAGATGGCTCTTATCAAGGAAGAGAAAAGATAATGATGTACAAATTATTCTTAAGGATGCCTGTGGGGCGATACGACCTGGTCGTCTTACATTCATACTCGGACCCTCAGGGGCTGGAAAGACTACGCTACTCAAAATATTAGCCGGCAGAAAGTGAGTAAAATTTAATTTAAAAAATCCTTTTCTAAGTCAATATATATGTATATTTGTGTCATTATACCATCCATAAAATGAACTGCAGGTACCGTTATGGAGCTATTCATAGAGACTAAAGATTATAAAAATATATATCAAAAAATTAATTATATAAATCCCAAAAACAAAAAAGTAAGAAATGAATTGCGTGGTAGAAGTCAGTATAATGAGTTTTTGATAATAATTAGCGAAGGTCCATTTATTTTTTTTTCACGGTTATATTTTGTTGATAGCATAACATTTAATTATTTGATGTTGATACAATTATCTCAGTTTGTATTTATTTGTAAAGTTTCTAATAACATTTCATTGTTATTACCTTTTAATGAAATAGGCTGTTATTTCGTTTTATTTTTTACTACTACTAGACAAAAATATTTCACTTCGATTTTTTTATCCACAAGACGGTTAATTCCAACGTTTAATTTATTTGCACACTTGTTGTGTCCTATTAAGCGTAACCACTAATTATTTTGAAGAAAATTCTTCCACCGTTTCAAGCTTATTTCTTTTAACAAATGTAACTATACTTTATGTATACTTAGACCTACTTATTATTCATAGGATCAAAATTTCGATAAAATATTGTATTGACAATTAATTAATTGTTAAACTTAAACTTAATGGATACTAAACAATTCTGTATTCAAAATCATTCCTGTCCAAATGCATAGTATATTTACGATTATAAAAATGTTAAAACTATGAAATAAGATTTAAATTAATACACTTAAAAAAACCTGTTAAATTATGCTCATCTTAATAGATAATGTCTAATAAATAATATATATTGATGCTAAATGTCTGTCAATTACTTAATTCTGTAAATATGTTATAAAGAAATAGACTTTAAAATTAAATACTAAAACTAAAAGTAGATAAACATTATAAAGTATGTTCTTACAAGTTTTAAACATTTTAGCCATAGCACAATACTTATATTGCACTTTCTTACATAAGACTACAAATGAAGTATAGAAAATTAGGTACAATATAAACAAGAATTTAAATTTTCTAAAACCTAAACATATAGTTTTATCGATAGTACAGCGTGACGGAATGCAGCAGACCTCGACCTCTTAAGCCCTACACATTGTAACAATAATGTTATTAAAATATTAAATATTCAAGGATCACATATATTATAACATCAATAAAATGTCTACATCTGATCGCTATAAATAAAATATACAATATTAGTACATTTGATTTATATTTATAAAAATATTGCGTTTGAAAATTTCTTTTAGAATTGTCGTGGGAAAATAATAATATTTATTCTTTAATTTGGCTTTCTTAACTTTGATTACTCAAGTTGTCCAAACTGTTTTACTTTATTCTTATATTATAAAGTTATAACTTTTTAATGAGAATAAATTAAAAAATATTCCAATAAAAATACATTCTATTTTATACTAATTAAAAAACATTGAGAACTCAAATACTTTAAAAAACTGTTTAAAGTTTTAGTTTTTTGCTAAACATTATAGCTGAAAAAGAATCTTTATTGAAAACATGTTAAAATTTAAAAAAAAAACATTTTCAAAAGTAAAATAGAAAATATGCAAGTACTTAAATAAAAAAATTTAAGTTGAATTGAAACCTCGGCCATGTTTTGTAAGTCGTTTGAAAATTTATATAAACATTGTCCTAGGATATTATTCATATAAGATTTCATTGTTGAATTTTGAAATGAAATCCATAGTAGCATCTATCTCTGAAAGAAGAATGCCTACAATTAACATAATGCTTACAATTAGATTCAACTGATACAGGTATTGAAAAAACAATAATATGCTACGATTTATACTGTTATTTTCGTGTTTGCTTGAGTCAAAATTGCTATTTAAATAAGTAATTTTAAACTAATTACACCAAAAATAAATGAAAAACATTAAAGTTCGAAATACACTGAGTATAAAATTAAAAATAATATTTATCTTTATAAGATTTAGAGTTAAAAACATCACGTTGTAAATATAACTTCTTTGTCTTAACTCTGGCGGAGGTCAAAATTTCTTTTACATTAAATAAATGGTTGAATGCACATTTATGCATCTAATTAAGAAGAAGAACTTTAAAAATTAAATTCTGTTCATAATACAAAAATATATGTTAAAATATTTATAGTGTTTTATTATGAGGAAATGCAAGGCTTCATTACTTTATAATGCATATGTTTAGCATATTTATTGCAATCCTTTCCATAATAGGAAATCTGGTGTCACCGGATCTCTGCAAGGAGTGACCCGGAATATAGTATTGGTGCCTCAACAAGTGACACTTATAGACACTCTCACTGTGAAAGAGACGATGCAATTCGCTGCTTCATTAAAACTATCACGTGCTAGTTACCAGGAACAATATAATACTGTGAGTATGCATCTTAGACGATGTTGCGGCTGGAGAAAGATATAGAAGAATTGGTTTATGCTATAATTCTCTTACTTCTGGATTTATTTTTAACTTAAAAATAAATCCGGTTGTTTTCTATCGTTCATCTTGCAATTTATTTTGGCAAGGGTAGTAATAAAAACAGAAAAAAAAAAGTTTAGAAAAAATGTACTGTTAGATTTTTTCTGAGTTCGTTGAAATTTAAAACAGATATACTTTTATAGCTGGTTATATTATAAAAACTTTAAGATTACATAAGCATCTATTTTAAATAAAGTAATAAAAACTAGTTTTGGGTACACACATACACATTTCGACATCCCACGTAGTAGGACCAATTTAATGAACACAAAATTACCTACAGAATATTATTTTTCTTCTGTTTGGTTACAGATAGAAAGGATATCAAAACAATTAGGTATCAATGATGTCTTGAATACGAGAGCCGGTCGACTGTCGGGAGGAGAACGTAAAAGGCTCACGGTTGCCTGTGAACTTCTAACGGACCCAACAATTATGTTACTTGATGAACCGACTAGGTAGTAAATAGTTTACTTTTTAAACAATTTTATTTAAAAGAAATGAGTTTGAAGCTTATAAATATAATCAACAAATAATAATTTATATGTGACTCAATAAATACAAATAATGATATATTTCATATTGAGCTTAGTAATTAGTGGAACAAGAGTTACGAAAATTCCTAAACAGTATATCGTTTGATATATAATGAAATTCATACATAGCAGCAATCTCATAATAAATAAATACTTCTCTGTCATAAAATATAACTTGTATTTTAATAAACGTATAAATTAATAGTATTATTTTTTTAAACAGCGGCCTAGACTCAGTATCTTCAATGTCAGTAGCAAGAGCTCTAAAATCAGTAGCACAAAGTGGAAGAACAGTAGCATGTGTGATTCACCAGCCTTCTTCACAACTGTTCACATCTGCTGATGACGTAATTCTAATGGCTAATGGCAGGACATTATACGCCGGCGCTGTTACAGATGTACCAGAAATGTTAAGGAAATCTGGTTTCGTGTGCCCACTCTATTACAACATGGCCGATTATCGTAATATATATAATATACATTAATTTATAGTATATACTAAATCAATGAAGTCAAAAAAATTATAATATCGAAGTGGTTAGCTTGTTTTTAATAGATAAACTTGTTTCCTAATAAACATTTTTTTATCTATCAATAACTTCACAATATATATGTAAATTGAATTTAAATCGCGTATAAATAATTTAAAAAAATAAATTTTAAATATATCCCTTTTTCACTACACTCATTAAAATTTATTGATTTACTTGTAGTTCATTCAAGCGCATGCCATTAAAACCAGCTATTACAAAGATCAAACAAACATAATGCTTAACAGTCTTATTGCTTGATTATTGTCATTATTATTAGAGAATGAAACTGCTTTGATAAGTGTTTAATAGAAATAGATTTCTTCCGCGACTGCATTTTACGGAGATAAAAGATAGGTACTTAAGCCAAAAAAGAAATTGGTTTAAATTTGTAGTACTATTAAAATAATATGGGTATTTAGTATATATAAGTGCAATAAACAGTATTTTAGATTAACCTGTTTTGGAGATATTTGTCTTTAATAATCTTATTAGTAGTGGCTAGTAGACTTCGGTGATAAATGATATATGTAGGATAAAATAACTTAAGATATTACACCAATATTTGATGCAATAACGGCATTCATTCCAATAAATAAACACTTTAGCTAATAATTATATGATATTTGTATAAATTTGAACGTCTTTACTTAGTATCAATTGTAACAGTTTTAGAAATTGCAAGCGGGGAACATCCTGGTAATCTATCAAATCTAGAAACTAGTACAAAAACTTATGCACTGGAAATAAAAAGAAATACAGAAAAAGATACTCATGAAAGAAATGAAAAAGGTAAGAAACAATTTTTTTTCTACTAATCATAGTTCATCATCCACTTACTTGAAATTAACATTATTTTAACGTCACCCTGATATCTAAAAACACAATTGCATCATGGGACTCTAACAGGAAAAAAAATACATTTAATAATTAAATACATAGTATACTTTGTTTCAGTAAACTTTACACTCTATACAAAACGTATAGTCAGTTAACTGTGTTAGTACTAAAGGCAAATTTATAAACCATATATTGTTAACACTGAAAAAACAATAATATACTTATGTTTTAAACAATATTTAAAATAATCTATACATTTTTTCTGAGCACTTACTGAAGCAATTATTGAAGATGTTCGCTACAAGGATTGTGCCGACAAGTTTAATGATACACAAAGCTATACCTAAATGTTGGGTACAGTTTACCTTAAAAGCCCTAATGAATTACCAAATGTTAAGACAGCAATACAAAAATAGTTATTTTACTTTAATGTTTGCAGTTAACTTCAAAGTTTAAGTTGGTTGGCTATTTTCAATATTATATTTCATTTCATAACTCTCACTCCATACACGAGATTAAACAAAAACAGTTGTGCTTGGTCTATCATGTTTGATCAAAAAGTAATTTTAGATTTACTGACATTAACTTTCTAAAATGTTCCATCCTCGTATATGGCAATGTTCCTTTCACTATAAACACTAGCAACAATCCTACTTATAAATTATAAGTAACACATTCTTGATGTAGATGACTCATTGGTTCTTTGAAAAATCCGTCCATGTTTTATTATACTTTTTATGATAAATAAATTATCTTATGTAATTATCCATATGAGAAACTCTTAAATGTGAAAATAATTGTCTGCCCTCTATCGTATTTTTAACAACTAAATCGTGACAAACATGTCGAGACTATGTATTTACATTGAAAATGTTGAATGAATCAAGTTGAATAAAGCTATAAAATATATTGACTTTCTGTAAATGATATTCTTCTCAATAAATTGCTAGAATCTCTAGCAATCAGAACAAAATAAGCAGATGTATAATGATTATTAAAGATACGATCCCAATAATTTCAAATTCTCATCACGAGCAACAACTTTAAAACGTGACTAATTTTAAAACTGCAACTATAACACAATTTCAATGATCACACACTAAAAAGTAAAAATGACCTTATAGAGAATTTAATTATAATTAAATGTATAGCATGAAATAAACATTTAATATATATAAAACCTTTAACAGATAACTCAACAGAAGTTGAATCGTTATTACACAGAAAAGTTCAATCTGACAATCATTACGAAGCAGGATTTGGGCAACAACTACGGTCGCTTCTTTGGAGAGGCTACTTGGGAGCTCTTAGGGATTTCCATTTAACACAGGTATTTATAATTGACCATTGTAAAGCAACAATAAAAAAGATTCTTCCACAACACTATTCTGATATTGACTACCTGGACTAGTCAATATGTAATTACATGTATCTCTACACAATATTCAGTAACAATCAAAACAAATGAAACTAATATTATTCAGATTATTACGCGTATTTATTGTTTTAAAACTATACTAGAAGACCTGGCGAACTTCGTATCGCCCTATAATCAAGAAATATCTGTTACGTTTTTTTTATTTATATTTTTGGAGTTTACCGATTAAAGCCATAAATCTCAGTGTTTTAAAGTGCGACAGAATGATTGACATATTAGTTAGTTGTCAAGTCTAATGTCAAAAAAACGTTTGTATCAACAACTACTTGTTGTATAAATTGTTGTGTAAATTGTGAATCTAAACCATTCCCAGATCCCCTTGAACACACACAAAACATTTCATCAAAATCGGTCCAGTCGTTTGAGAGAAGTTCAATGACATACACACTCACACAAGAATTATATATATAAAGATAGATACTCCTGACGTTTCGGTTACTTTTCAGCAACCGTGATTACGGGCAGTTGATAGATCTCATTGATCCAACCAGAGAGGTTTTTTATAGTATAGATACATTTTTTTATCATTCACAGATAAGGGTTTTAACCCATTTCGTGGTGGCGTTATTATTGGGTGCTTTGTATCAAGGTGCTGGTGCGGAGGCGAGCCGTATGATTTCAAATACAGGATGTCTATTCTTTTTCTTACTATTTTTATATTTCTCAAACGCAATGCCCACGATACATACTTGTGAGTAACTACTATACTGCTTATATTTTTTGTTTAAGTTGTCACGGTTGAATATTTTTGGTAATATTAATAATAATTAAATAATTATTTCTAATTATGTCAATTGTAGTGATCGCTAACAATGTTAAGGATATTTTTTTACTATTTTGCAAGTTAAAGTATCTACTTCGCATCCGATTTGAAAGATTAGCAAATATACTAACCTTATATATGATCGACATATCTGTTACAATCTAAACATTATATGCTTTATTAGTGTGTTTTCATTTTTCTTTTCAGTCCCAGTGGAATCAACTGTGGTACTCCAAGAACATCTCAATAAATGGTATTCTTTATCAACGTATTGCATCACAAAAATTGTAGTCGATCTGCCTATTCAGGTATTTGAAGTTTACTAAATAAATTATTCTTAAACAGTCAATATGAGAGTAACAATTTTAAGCAGTGCCAAGTCTTTAAATTAAAAATATTGTAAAAAATATCACATACAAAGAAAATAATTTGTAGGTACAGTAAGATACTTCATTACATAAATAAAACTCTTAGTTTTTGGCCACAAAAATAATAACTAGGATTCTAATAACTAAGGTATTTTATATACTTCTATGAATGTGCCCATTTCCAAGGTCCGGGAATCACAATGCATTATTTATAACTTAACTTATGAGATCATTTGTATTTGTATTCTAAATGAAATCTTTAAACAATCGTCTTTGTTTAGGCGTGGAATAATTCATCCAAACATATATTTTAATTATGTGGGAATATAAATTAGATTTAATAATTTGAGTTATACACTTGCTTACCTCAACGGTATATGAGTGATAAAACTGACCCACACGTGTCCTAGAGAAAAATCTACTAAAAGATTGAATAACTCGAGATTGATAGTAATTTAAAAAGAACGTCATGTAGTAAAAGAAAAACATTAATAATTCGAGAAAATGTTACGGTAGCGGTGATCGGCTCAAAACAATTTACTTAAAAAATAAATAATCAGGTTTCAATGAGATATAATATGTATAAGCAAACAAAAACTAAATTTATATGCATTTAGTGAATTCCAATTAAAATTTGAACTTTAATTAAAACTCGGAAAGCAATCTGAACGAGACGAAATTTTGCGTAAAATTCTATTTTACTTTCAAGACTTAGCTGGTATTTTAAGAAAAAAAAACAAAAAGTCTCTTAAAAATTATGTATCGCTTACAGAACAACTAAAAATCAATATAAATTTTTACAGCTGCTTTGTGCAACGATCTTTGTTTTACCGGCGTGGTACTTAACTTCTCAGCCACTTGAACCATATAGACTCATCCTGGCATGGAGTATTTGCACCCTCCTGACGATCCTAGCTCAAACTTTTGGCCTAGTAGTTGGAGCTGCGTGTGGAGTTAAGGTAAATAAAAAGTATATTAACAATCCTAATCTATAGAATTTAATTTATATAATTCAGAATTACCACAACAAAATTGACAAGTTGGTCACTTTTATTATCAGCTGTTATTGTTGTACTTTTTTTAAAGCATAAGTGGTCTGTGTGGTCATTGTGGTCACATAAGCATCTGTGCAATTAATTAGCAATTTACATAAATATCATCCAATTGGTCATTTATTGTTTTGATTTATTTATTTATTTGAAAATCTTTTCTGCTTTCAGCTCGGTCTTTTCGTGATTCCTGCTGCCAACATCCCCATGCTAATGTTTTCTGAATTCTTTATCCCCTACCAAGAAATGCCATCTTATTTACAACCGTTCGCATTAATGTCCTACTTCCGTTACTCTTTTGATGCATTCATGCAAACCGCTTACGGCTTCGGCCGCAAGAACTTACCTTGCAACAAAATATTTTGTCTTTTCAAACAACCTGACAAATACCTTGACTACTTGGGCCTTCAACAAAACTTCACGAATGATGTTATAGCACTTGTAATTTGGATTGTTTTATTAAAAATATCATTGATTTGTGTTTTAAAATATAGAGTATTCAAAGCTTGTAGATAACGCTGGTAATATTATAACAACTTTAAACAAGTTTTATGTATAAAATGTTGTTGGTATCAGGTAAAAGGTGTAAAGATAAAATACTTTGTAAGTTGAACAGTTATTGTATATGACTTGATGTATTCGTTACAAAAAAATCTCATAAAATAACAAACTATATTTAAAAAAAGCATTCATTTTATTCCTTTCCTTTGCACTATTAATTTGTTTTCTAATACCCTATAAATAATACATTTAAATCAAAACTGTTAAGTCGATACCCAATTTTCAAATTGTTAATAAACCACAATAAAATAAAATTCAATGTAGCGTTAAGTGCAGGTAATACCTACATTTAATTTCGAGAATAAAAGAATATAAAATAACTGAGCTCTCTTAAAATGGTTAAGCAAAGTTATATAACGAATTTTCATGTCTAATAAATGTACTCAATAAGTACTGTGCATATACGTTTATTTTTATTAATATAAGATATCAACAAAACAAAATATGTGAAATCCAACCATTTGAACAATTCCTATAAATGGGACATTTACTAATAATAATAATTTGAACAATACAATTATGTCGTTTCAATTAATATAATATTTTAATGTTATCGACATAAATAAATCAGACCATAATAAAAAGTTGCCATATAAAAAAAACAATTGATGTATTTACATATTGTGTACTGGAAAATCATTTATATTATATAGCAAGCTCAGCTCTATTACAGTATTTTTAAAAATTGTAAATTAAAAAATAATAATGTAGATAATAAGAAAATATAGGGAGTGTAAGCTATAAAACTTACTTAAATCCACAGTTATTTGAAAGACTTTTCCTAAATTGTCTATCTCTACGTCCCTCTGTTTAAGCTAGTAAAAGCATAAAAGAAAACGATTCAAAGACCCAAAAAGTAAAAACTGAGTAGTATATGAAATCAAAAATAAAGTTTTTCTAGTAAATTGAAGTGATATAATTCTCCACGTCATAACTTCACCGGCATTATTATATGTATTTTTTGATAAAACAGTAGTGTATAGCTAACGATGTATTTAGAATGTTTCCTTCACATATAACTACTGCATTTAAGAAAGGATTTTTAAAAGAAGTACAGATAAAGTGCTCGATACGAAAGTGTGTTGCTTTTCGCAACCGATTTCATTTGTCGTGAAATTCGGTCTCTATATTTTTTTGCACAACAGTAGACGGACATTTACAAATATCCTCTAAACTTTAGAGTCTAAAGATTTCATATTTCATCGTGCTTAATAGTAAGTTTGCATTTTGCTTTAAAATTTTAAGGTGTTCATAATTCGTTTACAATTTAACAGTAAAAAGTATATTCCCCTTTCCTCGCCCCTGTAACGCATCGCAATTGTTCCTATGCCATAGATAGAATGTCCCGTAAATCGTGGCATCTTATTTTTTTATATTTTCCTGATTAGGCAGTTATTAACTCAGTTTCACTACATAAAGCTTCATAAGAACACCATTCTGAACTAAAATATTGAACATAAAGTCTTCCCTAGAAATGCTTACCAAGGGATCCTAACGCCAAGTCATGTAATGATTTGATTAACCTATTACAGGCTTAAACAGGATATTTTCTTCATCTTCCCCATTATCTGTAAAAATAAAACGATACAATCCATCAGTTTCGACATAGTTACTCGTGGATTGAAATATGCATCAGGCCCAACATCAAATTCACGAAAATGGGCTAAATGTAGCACTAAAAATTCCTCAGTTGTGTGTCCGCAAAAACAAAACATGTTTAACTTTCATAAAAAATAAGATGTTTTTATATTATCACCCGGATGCGACTGCCACGGTGTTTAAAGCCTCGTGTCTATTTTTTTCATCAATGTTTTATTACTAACTACATATTATTTAAATCAAATATTAAGTTGTTTTATTTATAAACTTATATGCAATCGGGGTTAAAAGAGTTAATACTAAACATAAAATCTTAACAATATCTCAGGTGGCTCTTATTGATTATGATCATAGGAACTTCTTAGATTGGTCCTAGTAAATAGCTGTCTAAAACTTTGATTACTACCTGAAGTTGCTCTTGAATTTATACCTTTGTATTGCCAAACCTGTCCTATTAAATAGTTTTGGACGTGTAATACCGAAACTGTCAATATTGTATACCTACATGTATCTGTCATTTTAACGACTGTCAAAATGTTGACACGCTTTGGTAATAGGATTAGAAGTTGTTCATAATAAACATAATACATATATTGGCAAAATATTGAACGATTCCAGTGCGAATGAAGCAATAGCATAAAAAATTGACATATCATTGATACTGTTAATAGATTTTTTCTGAATCAGGGCAATCAAAGAACAATGGTCTATTACATATTATAAATAGAACGATAAGGTATATTTTTCGTTTTAAAAAGCTTTGTCACAGAAAAATACTTTATTATATAATACATACATCAAATCTAAGTATTCATGAACAATATTTAATACTTTTTAAAAATACTTGTAAAGCGCTAAAACATTTTGCATTGAAATAATTGTAATGATCAATTTGCTAACATCAACAACATTTACAAGTCTCAGATAAAAGTTAGGCCGAAATTGATTCGGCGGCATATTATTAAACATTGTCTCATAGACAATACGACTGTCAGCGACTAGAAAAATTTGTATAAAAAATTAACTAAATAAAAACCATTCATCGAGTTACTTATAGTACACACATCAATGAATAAGTTTTTCCAAGTTATTTTAAATATTCACTAATAAAATATAGTGTCATATTAATAATTATTATACGTTCCTCTATACGCTGTTCTAGTTTTTGTATGAATTGACATTATTAATTGTTAGTGTGTAAAAATTGTTCAAATAATATTCATATATACGTATACATATTGATTTCCATACTTTACCTACCATTATTCGAGGTATTATAATATGTATGGAAAGCTTAAATTATTATAAACAGGAATGATATTAAGTATTTATTTCTGTCTTTGGTGATAAATACTCTCGTTAGCGTAGACTTAACAAGTGACTATTATGTACATTGAATATACATTAAATGCTTAATATAAGTTCAATACAAAAATATTTTAGGGCATCGATTATCGACGGCCCATGTGACTAAGACGGCATCTCGCTCAATTTGGACAAATACCTGAAAAAATATAAAATATTTATATATAAATTATATTTATTTATGGATGGTTAAGTATTTTTTTATTATTACCTGTAGTATTCAGGTGGCAAAGTCAAAGTTTTGTACCAAAGCAGCAAACTCAATACAACGCTCCACGTTCTTAGAGGTCCGAACAGAAATGAAATCGTTCCATACTCTAACCAAAAGAAGTATGCCAGCAATAGCTGAATCGAGAACAGGAATATAAATGGTAAATTCTTAAAGAGACGTTTTAAACCTCTTATGTTGGGATTTAAAAGTTTTGTTTCCAAACAATGGGCTAGTACGAATATTAAGGGTATCTGCACAAATACTAATTGCACACTACCATACATGTAGGTGAAGGGTTCAGGTAAAAATGCCCCTTTTATTAATATGCCCCAAGCGAAAATAGCCCCAATAGACCCATCTACTAGTTCTCCTACAGCCCATGGACCAAATGGTATATATATCGCATATAATACGAGAGGGTAAAATATCCTATCGACTTTACTCAACAGCCAAACTCGTTTTAAGATTTGTCTACCACATTTCCTTCTATATTTCGGAGGTCGTTTTTGCAATCTTAGGATTACCAGCGGCAGAACATTCAGGAGCAATAAAGTTCCAAAAACTGCCTGAAACTATAACAAAATATATTTAATAACATTTTTTGTTATTATATTGATTTAAAATAAACAAGTTACATACCACTTTCCCAGCATCTATCATTAACAGAATCCTAGCAGTGATTTCAAACTTCATAGGACTGCCATCTAATGAGAATGGGTGTTCTATGAATGTTTCTCTTCCTATCTCATCAGTAGCAGCCACGTATAAATTATTTATACCAATTTTAAACAAATGAGGCAACCACTGGCATACATATAGCGGACCGTCGGTTTCCTTGCATTTCATCCAGCTTATTTTGTCAAAGGATATATTCACATGGTTAATTTTAACGTCACTAAAAGCCAATATTCTAATGTGTGTAGATTCCGGTATAAGATGTAGCGGTTCTCGCCCTGGCAGCGTATATCTAGCGTGTTTTGGATTCGTCACCAATACTGACGGCCAATTGCTGTGTTTGACATCAACGAACGAGAATAAGCCATGATCTATGGCTGCTATGCGATACATCCTGTTATCTTTCCAGTCGCTTAACTCCAGTTCCAAATAACCTTTCTTCTGTTTGGTGTACATTCTTGGTACTAGCCCACCCATAGCATGCAAGTGTCCACACACATAAGCCTGTGATCCTCTGGCGCTTCCCATCAGCTGCCGTACGTCCATTCTCTGTGAATCCCATTCCAATGACAATATACACGAGGTTGGATAATGCCCAAACCATATAATATGATCAGCTTGGCTTTCTGCTTCTAATTTTAGCTTCTGTATATTTTGTTGTTCTTGGATATCCAGCATGCCTATAAAATTGAAAGGCCTACGTAATCCCGGATCGGGACATGCGTCAATGCCTAAAAACGCGGTCGAAATACCATTATGTTTCACAATATGAACATAAGATTTCGGGTAAGTCGCCCCTTGAACTGAGTAATTCCGGAAATAGTTCTCTTTAGCATTAATGGCTCCGATGTTGAAATTGTCTGGAAAATAATACAGAAAATCTTTATTATTATGTATTTTTTTTTAATGTAATCATAACAATGTTTATATAGTGAATATAACAATCATAAAATCAACATTTTAATCACCAAAACAATAGCTTATCTCAAATAAAAAATACAAATCCAAATTTTGGAGTTTTAAATAATTCATATACACTTATATTTTATTCTAAAGCATGCTGAAAATTCACCAAGAGATTTAATTTAATCATAAATACCATGATTTCCTCTAATATCCAACCATGTAGTATGTTCGGTCACTCCTGATTCTTTTATAATATTGTGATAATACACCCACTCGGTCTTAAACTGTGAACTGCCCAAGTTATCCTTTGCCTTGGCGTCAGTTAAATCACCGGTGGCCAATACAATAAGAGGCTTAATCGTCTTCACAGTATTGTCACAGAACTGTTGGAATTGTGATATTCTTCCTGGGTCTCGGAATATACTGATATGAATGTCCGATATCTGAAAGTTTTAATATTTGCTACCATTAAAAACATTAATCATAATTCAAATGGAATTTTTAGTTTACTTTCCATTCAACTTTAGTGGTCCAAAGAGGTAATTTGTATAAATATAATGTTTATACAAACAACCAAATTACTGAAATGACTTTTTAGAAATGATTTCGTGTCAGAGGCTTGTTTTTATTAAAGACTAGAAGACCTGGCGAACTTCGTATCGCCCTATAATCAAAAAGTTTCTATTACGTTTTTTTATTTATATTTTTGGAGTTTATCTATAAGCCATAAATCTCCGTGTTTTGAAGTGTGACAGAATGATTGACATATTAGTTAGTTGTCTAATCTAATGTCAAAAAAAACGTTTGTATGGGAAATAGAAAAGGGCTGTTTTTATGGTTTTCCCAGTAATGAATCAATTTTTTCAGCTTTTATACCTTCCCTGAACCTCCACGAACATTTCAAGACTAAGATAAGATAAATCCGTTCAGCTGTTCTCGAGTTTTAGCGAGACTAAGGAACAGCAATCCATTTTTATATATATAGAAGATGACTTAATTTTGAAGTCTTGTAGTGAAACCTTTTTCGATATAAAAGACAATTGAAAAGAAAAAATTACCAATATTGTACAATTAGTGGACTAAATTAGATATTTCATTTATTCAGGAACTTTACTATATATATTTTTTTCTAAACAGATCTTATTGAAACCCAAAGAGTTCAGTTTTTGTGGACATTCAATACGAATAAGAAAAATTAAATCTATAACAAATAAAGTAAATAAACTTCCTAATTATTTAAAGATTGTTTTAATGAAGGGATAACATTTTCAATGTGAATACTTCATTTTCCAAATATTTAAGTACTATTTTATGTTATCAAATATTTACTTTATTATGTAGGAAATGTACTTGTTTGTATAGGTCTGAATAATTTAAATTCTCTATTGTCCGATTTGTGAACTTAAAACATACTACATATTCATCTTGTTAATTTAATGACTACATCGCTAACCTTTCTGAACATAGGAACTTGGCTTTTATATTATGGAATGAATTGAGACTGCTCAAAAAATAAGTAAAGTAATACATGACTTTTGATACTATTACTTTATATATTTTATAAGAATTGCAAAAGATTAAAAGAAACTTAATTTACAGTAATGATAAGACTATATTATGATAACCTACATGTTATACAAAATATTTTTTTGTTTATTTTATATAAAAAATAAAATACCTGTAAAAACCACATTAAATTTTTGGATGAATCAGTGATAGGACCATACTTGTCTCCCAAATATTTTGTGTAATTTTCTCTTTCATTCTTATCTCCGTTGTAAAAGTTGTGATCTGTAGCTATAATATTTAAGAAGCTTGCCATAAATATCGACAATAGCAATAGAAAAAAGACGATGGATAAGGCTATCTTAGAAAAAATCATGTTGAAAACACCGAAACAAAAGTATAAGTTAAAAATCGATTGAATGATTTAACCACGATATGCCAGTGCTTTTAATTTTTTTATAGTGGTCATTGTCTTCAACACTAAACACAAAGACTGATGCAAGAGTATAATTTCTTTGTCAACAAAAATCGACCTAGCTTATCTACATTTTCTTGTCAATTTGACAGTCATCAGATGGTAACGATCTATCATGCACAGCTGGATATAATGACATATTAAGATTTCGTTTAGAAATTCAAGAATCGAATTTTTTAAAGTGAAAGCATGAGATATTAATAATTATTACTTTAAGGTACAATCTTATAAAGAAATATTGAAACTATTTTCAAATAACCATGTTGGAGCATTTCTTACTATCTCTTTGTTAAATTACAAAAAGGTTTCCATTAACATAAAAATTCATAATGACTTAAAAGTTATTAAGATTCAGTATAGCGTAAATTAGAATGTATCAATTTAAAGTTTTCAAAAAACATTCTCTTATTTATTTCACGTAAAGGTCAATGGTCACTGTCAAAGTGTCAGTCAAAATTCATTCTCAATTTCTCAGTACAGTATTGGTAAGATCATATCATGACCGTGTTATACGGTCATGCTTCAAGATTTTACATTTTATTGACAGTTCTCTAGTGCGCATTCGGTTTAACAAATCATATTAAATATAAATTATAGGTCTAAACTGGTTACATACTGGAGGTCGTTCAATTATTATTTTGGAATATAAAAATCATAATTTACTTAATTGGGTATCCAAATTTTTTCTTTCAAACTTTTTCTTTGGATATCTAAATTAGTATTTGGATGCTCAAACTTTTTATTTACAAAAAATCCGTATGTTTACCCCGTTTATTGGAATGTATAAACAAGTATCGATATCTGTATAACTTGACCTAAATGTTTAATGGATTAATGGTATAAGAAGCCACAACACCTCCACAGAGACTAAACTTTTTAGCTAATTTACTCAAGCCTTACCATAAAAAACAGTTTAAAGGATATACCTAAATGATTTATTCATATACAAAGTTTCGAAACTTGTATCAAACTGAATCTCTAATTGATGGAATCCTGATATTGTAAATCTACTTGAAAATACATTTTTTTTTCAAAAAATGACAGCATACTTTTATGAACAACTCTTTATTTAGTCATTATCCGATTTAATACTTCAGGAGTCGTATTCATATATCATTATTATTTTCCGAATGTAGCTAATAGCAAGGTTTTACGTCAATCTATTAAAAACATTTGCTACTTGTATAGGCCGGATATTTTTATTTAATATAAATATCAATCCGCGTCTGTGTTTCTCGAAACTAATTTTCTAAAATATTATGTATGTAGCTAATTGTTTGTCTGTTACGCTTTCACGCTTAAACAGATAAACCGATTCTGATGTAATTTTATGAAACGTAATTTAAAGTTATCGTTACTGTGAAAAGAATTCGAAGGTTTTGAAAGAATATGTTTTATTTTTACTATGGGCCAGAGATCTGTATTAAATGATATGAGACGAATCCTCTTAGCATTCAAAGGATTCACCATGCGGGTGCTGGGTCCATCGCTTTGTAAAAAGAGGAGCTTCAATAGAGCCCGGGACTTGCGACCCAGGTGTAGGTTTAAGGGGCCCCGACCTAATGCGCGTTAAACGCTCACCTCCACTGTCCAAGCTCCTCTCCCTACCTAACCAAATTTGAAAAGAACCTACTAGGGCTGCCTTCGATATGTATGTTCCAAGAATGTATGTGAGTTCTGGATAGACACAAATCTTTTAGTACTATAAATTTAATATCTTTGTATGAAATTTTGTAAAGTTATAATTTTTCTAAGCGTCTTCTTTATAAAAATATGAAGTCACATAATTAAGAAAATATGCTAAAATATTTTTGATTGAACTTAATTCTGCTTTTAACTGCTTTGATGTTTTTTCTGTAGTACCGTGTCCCGGGTTAAAAAGGCTATACTACCCAATGGATGTAACAAAAACGAATAATAGTAACCAGTCCGCGAAATTTTAAAAACTTAATTTCGATAAAGTTAATAGAGGATGCAGAATGTTTTGAACATTTCTGAACGTAAAACGATTTAGTAACTCATTAAATAATTAAAAATACAATATTAAATTAACATCCATGTCCTCAGCACCTGAAATTTTATATCTCGAAGTACTCAGAGAGCAGTAGTTTCATCGAAGTCAGTTTACCCATTTCCAGGTTAAAAGTGACCATTAAAACCCGATCATACAGGTTATAAGAAGTAACCCAAATGTTTTGTTTCGGGTAAATATATGTATACCTATAAGATAGCACTAAATTGTAGTGATGAATTCCACTGTACAAACTTTTTAGGCATTGGTTTTATTAAAGAAAATTGAACTCAAACGTAAGATGGCATAAAGTTTAACTTACTATGTTTTTTCTCATCAATATTTCATTAGAGGGTTTCCTTCGACCGCACAATATTGAAAAATTTTAGAAATACCAAAGATATCTTAATAGGAATAAAGATATCTTGTTATGTTTTATATATAACCGAATTTACAACTCTAAATATAATATATTACATTATATCAAATAATGACCAACTTCCCCAACTCTTGTCGATAATTCTCAAACATATTAACGTGTTTAGAATCTTTACATATTACATGTATATGTAGGTAAGAATGTAATTTTATAATTTCTATATTACTTTAATAAAAGTATAATGTTTTCAAATATACATTACGTCTTATTCGTATAGCTACTCGTAAGTGTCATAGACATACATGTAGTATTTACGTACATGTATATTAATAAACGTACATAGCTACTTATGTTGTGTAGTTTCGAATAATTCTCTTTTATTTTATAAAAAAAATGTTGTATCATGAACAATGTTATTGTTGAGTTGCTTCAATAATATACATTTTTTTAAATCACTACTACCCAAGACGGTTTCTTTTTTTCAAAAATATTTCTTAGGTATTGAGGTTGTCTCTAAAATTACAAACATACTTCAAATGTGCCATAACATAAAGGGCTTCACATTTACAAAAGAATGCAGCATGGCCAACGTTACATCGTTATTATAATAATCTCAAATACCAACAGCTTCAACCCCAATTACATTAATAAAAAACACGCATCTGTGATGCGCGTCGATCTACGGAGGCTCCGTGCTCCAGCCTACAGCGGGCCTCGGTACGAACGCGCCACTATCTTGCCGCATTCCAGTGAGCCAGGCAGCGGCGCGCCCCGCGCGGGCCTTCATGCCTCTGCCGACCCACGCGCCCTCGCTTGACGCTTCGCGCTCAGTCGTTCGAACGCGCCTATAGAGACTATGCGCGTCGACTGCGTGACAAACTTACGAAACAGAGATCGCGCGCAAAGTGTAGTGCAGTGCTTATGGATGCGGTTTACCACGGTGTACATTGTCATTCCTATCTACTCCTTTGGATTTGTTTATTGATGGTGAGTGGGGTGTTTACCAACTACGTCGGGTACTACCTCTGTGGATGCGTGCGCTTTCACGATACGGCCACTTTCATTTCATACACATAGCTCGAATTCCGCGCCATCGCCGATACCGCGCTTCGGCCGCTGACCCTGTGTCCGTGCGCCCTTCCTCTTGCTACCACACCACTGCTTGCCACATATTGCAGAAGCAGCTACCTACTTCTATGCAACACCAAATGCACGGTATTCAAGAAACGATCGGTTGATATTGCAAAAGTATGTAGCTTATCGACCTACTAACTGAAACGTAGGCAAACTTTAAAAGATTAGAACAAATTGTTATTCTAGTAGGAATTAATAATTCGCTTAAGGACTTCTTATAACAACCAAATAGGTTTTCTTCAACTCACGTCATTTAATATATGACTAAGTTTTATCGTGAAACATTTTTGTGTTGTATTTGAAACGACATTAGGATTTTTTTACTTTACTATAAATTCATAATTTCTTTTAATTTACCAAGTTATCAAAACTATATTAACGTTTAATGATCAAGTTAGGTCTAATTACTGACCACTATACTATGATTGACAATGCAATTAATAAGATTCTCTGATGATCACTACTCTGAATGCTAGTAAGTTAACCCTGTATGACAGTATAATGTATTAGGGACATACCTAAAACCATCAAACTATTTTTATATAAAAACTACTTGAAATTTGTTTTGCAGACGATTCTTGAGTGAAACGAAATTTCTTAAAAAAATACTTTCAATTAAACCAAGTTTAAAAGATATTTGATAACCTACAATTATTATTTAAACGAGAATTTGCATAGCATATTGCGCGTTGACTGTTGAGTGATTGATAAAGCGAATGATTCATTAACGTAGGAACAGGCAATGGCGACCGCATTCTTCCGATAGCGCACTGAGTGTAAATAAAATTGACAACTTGCACATAATGGCTTAACGCGCTAGGGTTATGTAAATGATAAAATATATCGCGCATACTTTATTTGTGTATATATTTACATGTGTATTTAGATTTATAAAGGTTTTCCGTTTCTTAAGTAATGTGTGTTTAATATTTAAAATGTTGGAATGTGTTAATGCGGAATCACGTATTTATTTTCATGAATAAGTTATCATTTGGTCGTGATCCTATTTCATAATACAATTTGCTCCGGCTTTCAAATCATTGGTAATCGTTTTAATGTTTCACCGGTGTTACCGGTAGGAAAATCACGTCCTTAAAACTAATACAAATTCCAACAAGTATCAGTACAACAATTAAAACATATACATATATATTTTAGTATGATATAAATCAAAACCAAAGTAATTTGTTTATAATACAAATATTATTTGCAAAAATATTTTTAAAATAAATTCGTCATCTTTTTGGATACATTGAAACTTCCCACGATAAATGAATGAACGATAATGAATTATCAATGATAATAAATAATGAACGACAATTAATATTTTGTAGATTCCCGTAATTGTATTTTAAATTATCAGATAAATTCATATACAAAATGTTTTGGTATGCAATTACAGAAAATAAAAAAATGGTACCGTTGTGATGTAGGACAGTAGCAGTTTTTTTTTACGTTTCGGTATTTTCCATCCCGTAGATTTTTTGTGATTTATTATTGATAATTTGATAATCAGAAAAATCGGCAAAATAAATTATTTATATTATAAATACGTTATCGTGTGGTGATCATTTTTCTAGAGCTAGCTGTATTTTATTTATAAGAATATCTGTCAAACGATTGTCAAATAAAAATCTAATTGAACCGTATAAAGATATTTGAACAGTGAAGCCATTGATTAAAAAAGCTGTTGGAAAAAACACTGATTCTGCATATTATTTCAATAATATCCCGATATACTCAACAACTTTAATAAATATGTGTAACTGAGTAATCTTTGAACATTTTGTTCGGTTTTAAACTCAATGGATAAAAAATTTGCAGATATATTAAAGTTTCCTAGTATAACCCTTCTGTTATTATGTAATAAGTTACGATAACTATAAAAAATATAAGAGTCTTCTTATTTTATTAAACCTACTTTTAGATCAGTCAGTACAACCATAGTCTTTATACATGTATGTGAAAAACAGCCGTGGTTTATCTAATTAAATATAGACTACTACATATTATTTGGCTAACGATTCCTTCTTTAGGATATTTAACTTTAATATCTTTTTTTTTATATTGAAAAATATTTCAATACAAACACATACGTTTCATAGTTAGAACTGTTCGTATAGATTCATTCACGTTTAGTCAGGTGTTTTTGCAAGAATTTGCCAAATAATAGAAATAATGCGCAAAAACACTAGTCACACCATGGTAAAGTAAATATTATTGCCAAATATAGCAACGAACACGCCATAGAATGTCATATTCGTAAGAAAATTCATTTCGCTCAGTACAAAGATATATTTTTACGAAATATGTTACATTGACCTCTCTGTTAAATCTCGTTCCATTACCCTATTCGGTGAAAAGTAATTAAATTTACCTGATAGTTATTTTTATAAATATTATTTATTATTTTTAGTATTATTATTTATTATTTTTAGTTCGCTTACATTATATTTCTCTCATGGTATTCCGTTTATCTTAGGTAGATAAGAAAACATACTTGAAAGGTGTCCTTTTAAATGATAATAATTAATTATTTATGTGTTTTAAATTTGATAACACGATATGGACCTTATCTTTATTTCCGTAAGATGTATTATTTTCATTACTAATCGGATCACTGCGGAATTAGAAATTTTTAAATTGAACCACCTCGTTATAAAGGAACTCACTATGATTAGAGATTTAGCAAACATAAAAGTAGGTAGCTATTTATATAGGCATCGATAGTCACTCAGTATATTATTAATTTAGGATTAAAATTGACACAACAGGTTTTAAATTAAGAATATATTTTAGTTATTAACCAAAAAGGTTACATATATTATTTTTTTACAAAATGAAACTAAAAAAGCAACAGCCCATAGACAATGAAGTTATAAATTTCAAAATGAAACATAATAATGATGAAGCTAACTAAATAATATAAATGGTTTAAAACTGGAGTTACATTTGACAACATTGCGATATTAAATACCAGTTAGCTATTAACAAAACTTGTTTGAACTCGGTATGGTTTTTCTGACTAGTTTTGCTGTGGAATGCCGTCTGATGTAATGCATTTAAAAGCCGTGGACTTAAAAAAAAACTCAATGAATAAATACATGTACCTACATACATTTGAACCTTGTAAATCCTATATGTATTGTGTGCAAAAAGTGTGCACGGTTTTCTACACTTAATTAATTTAAAATTCGTATGTTAACGGAAGGAAATGCTTAAAGATCATGTCTTTATAATGTACAATTCATAACACAACCAACAAATATCTTACGATAACTGAATGGTGTGATATTTGCATTGGCTGTACGTATTGTTTGTGGAAATAATTGGAGGCTCTGTAGCATGACGTCAATTTATTGTATTAACATTGTACAGCTCTTAGCCACGTGCGTCCACACTGTACATAGCAGTGGTCGGATGATATATTAAATACTTTGTATGTTTTCTCGAATTACTTGTGTCACTTATTATAATTTTTCTATTATTACCAATGATTTAAATAAATCTTCATCTTCTTATATCAAAAGTCACGTAATTAAGGTATATCATATTTTTTATAACTATCGAATTCTTTGAAAAGGTTAAGTTATTTAATCATAGTTAGCTTCAAAAGATTACGAATATTTTTTTGTGAATATAAAAGAAGCGTTTCGTTTTATCTTAATCAGATCTGAATATCACTACAAACATAATTTTAGTTGAGTGACCTGAATTTACAAATATTCATTGTCAATTAACGAGACCTTCTACAGAAAATATTACAATTAAGATTATTATTTATGAAAATATGTAAATAAAAAATGTGTTTTTCTTTGAATTTCTGAGTCTTTAATTCTAAGTTTGAGTATTACATGGAAAACTAAAGAATGATTATTTCGTTACTGTGTGGGAGAAACATTTAATAGAAATTGTGTCCTTTCTGTTCGTTAAATACCGTATAATCTAACACATAAAATTTATTGTGAAACCAAAATCACTTATCGCTATGATATGAATTAAAGTGAAAATTTAATTAAATCAAGCCTAAAAGATCCTTTAAAATTCCGTTCATTGCCTCCAAACATAATGTGCTAGTGTCAAAAGTGGTGGCGAGATGTCGAAAAGAAGCGAAGACGATAGGTATGCGAGGACGCGAGATGCGGCCGGCGTTGGGGGAGGGGTGTTCGGCATCTGAAGGTCGTCCGCATTCCTCGCGTCGCCGACCGCTGCTACCGCGCTTACGTAGCGCCCCCGACCGCGCCTCACTGCCCCCTCGCCCTTCGCCCCCCGGCCGACCGGTCTCACCCGCTACGTCTGACCGCCGTCACAAACTATCGCGCATTTATTAAAAACAAAAAACATGTTCTTAGGGCTATCAAGAGCTGAAGAGTAGAAGACCGGATGCTATGTTATTCGAGTCTAGTTTTTTGGAGCATCCCGATGCTACATTCCCCCGTCCGTAATTTTTGTTTTTTCATGTTATAATGACGATTTATAAAGTTTTAGTCACAAAATTTTACAAGGGAACGAAATGTTTATAAATAAGCACTTATATAAAAACAGGTTGCCGCTTCAGGTTGCCTAGGAATGTCACAAAACCAGCTGTGAATTGGTCGGATAACAACTACTGTTTCTAAAATTAACAACACACATAGCTTCTTGTAGAATTTTTATGTTGGAAGACTAAGAAGTCGAAATTTATCTGACCTAAGGAATGGAAAGGGAACAATGTGAGGTTCAAACAGTGCAGGTAGCGAAAAGCCAATTGTGTACGAAGAAAAAAAAGAGAGAATGGAATGCGCAGATGGTGTAGGTCCGTATACACGATGCCCGTCTAAAGTACTCAAGTTTTGGCAAAACATTTTATATTATTTGAATGTTCCGAAGAATTATTCAATAAGAAGAATGAGAAAAATATATAAACAGCTACGCATTAATATTGCATAATGATATTAATTACCTAGATTGTCATATATTAAGATCTTGTAATATATTAAAAATAACTTATTTCCAATGTTGGTTACGGTAAAGATGCCAGGAGTCAAATATTTACATTGATTTACTTTCTATGTCATTATAATAAGTAAATTTATATTTAACTTAAAATCGCTATTGACAATAAGCTTTAAATACAGCATCTCAAGTTAAACTGTTTTTCCACCGGTTCTACATTCAGAATACAAAATTATCAATGTTTCCTATAACGTATCCCCAAAATAAAAGGAGTTTAAGCTATGTTTTGTTTAAACCTTATATGATATGTATTGAGTTAATTATTTTGGCAAACTTATATAGTATATATGTTTATGATTACAGGGAGAGTAATAGAGGTATCGAGATGCGATATGCGCGCTCTGTGTTCGGTTCGAGGGCTGGGCGGGGAGGCCCGAGCGTTGGGAGCAGGCGCACGCCTCCTATCCCTCCGGATGCCCGGCCAGCCTCAGCCATTGCACTTCGTAGTGGAAGCCAAGGCCAGGGTGAAGGAATTGAAAATGTTAGCCTACGCACACATACAACTTCAAGGCATGACCGATACAGAACTGTTCGGTCTAGCTGTTATGCAAAGTGAGTTGTATTTTTTAATAGCATCGTGTAAATGCGTATAATCTAAAGTCCTAAACACATACATGAATAATCCGCTATAATACAATAATTTTAAGTTCATGTACAATATTTTGTCAAGAACCATGTGGCATAAACGTTCGATTCAACCTACATATATTACTTTTTGAACCGTAGACTTAACAAAAACATAATTTAATATATATGTATTGCTATGTTTAAACAAAAGTATATTTCTAGATGGCGAATACCTCTTCGTAGATTTAGAAAGTAAACTTTCAAAATACGCACCGAAAAGCTGGAGATCGTCCCATACTCATGTAAGCTTTATCATACAAAAACTATCTAGACATGGTTGCATTTTATATGTGATTACTTATATTCCTCCTTATTTCAGGGCTTAGATGCAAATGGGAAACCGCTTTTGGAACTTCATTTAGTTGTCCAGTTTCACGTGGAAAGTCCGCTTCTTCTACACGATCAATGCGGTCGCCATTTATACTTCCTACAACTTTTGGAAAATATTCGTACAAGAGATGTGCTCCCTGGTGAAATATTATTATTATTAATTGGATTAGCACTCCAAGCAAAATATGGAGACGAAGATTTATATGAAAATCAAGATTATTTCAAAATAGAGGACTTCGCACCACCCTCGCTTACTGGTGAATGGGTTGTTTCGGCTATACGAGCCTGTCATCGCGAACACCATGGCCTCTCCAAATCCGATGCAGAAATAAGATTCATTCGAGAAGTCAGTCTTCTACCAGATACAATAAATTCACACAGATATCGATTGAAACAGTCAAAAACGGAATTAGAACCAGGGACGGTGTGGTTGCTTGTAACAGCTAAAGGCATTAAAATTTTACCAGATAATGGGCCCCTGTCAAATTTCATATGGAGCTCTATAGGGAAACTTAGTTTTGATCGAAAGAAATTTGAAATTAGAACCGAAGAAGGAAAAATAACGTTATATTCTTCTAGCGAAGAGAAATGTAAATATTTGTTCGCATTATGTAAGGAAACGCATCAATTCTCTATGAAAATTTCATCAAAACTAAATGAAATATTAACGAAGGAAGAAGATGAAAGAAAAGTTTGTTTTGGATATTCAAAGGCATTAAACTTTCATTACTGTCATAATAAAAATGAACAAAGAATTTCCCTTATATCGTCAACGAGCTCAAACACCACATCAGGAATCGTTAGTGACAGAGTTCAGTCGGAAGATGAATTAGAAATAATGATTGATACACCGCCGGCACCTTCGACGGAGAGTCTGGCATTCGCACATTTATTAGACTGTTCCAATTCTTATTTAATTCGGCACATGCCTCATGACCAGCATTCTTTAAAGACGAGGTCCTCGTTACAACTTCCTATGTCAAAGACCAGAATCAAGAAAAACACAGAAGACACTGAAAATATATGTAACAATGACATTTCATTGGACCGAGAAAGTGGTTCAACCAGTCAAGCAGAAGAAACAATTTCTTTGCCAGATCGTGTTACTGACAAGTCTGACAGCAGCCCAGGTTCAAGCAAAATAAAATGCACCGGCTCGCAATGTTCATCATCGTGCAGTACAGTTATTTTGGCCCGCGGAGGTCTCAGTACCTTGAGTAGAGCATCAAATGCCAGCAGCTTAGAATTAGGCTATAGTCACACGGCACAAAACTCTATGATAAGCGATAACAGTACAGGTGCAGTCGATGGAGAATATACACAAGATACAGCATCAGCTTTATATGATGGTCTCGGCCAACCGGTTACAGTAGCAGCATCAAGTGAAACTAGTGGAGTGTATACAATGGGTAGTTCTGAATTAACGGCAGGGTCAAAATTGTACGCCAATTCTGAAGGAAGCCGAACAGAGTATAGCGAATCAAATTATGACAGTTACAAAATCATGAAGGAAAACGACCTGGCTGATTTTGACAGTGTCTCTTCAATACTTAAAAATAAATCAAAAAGAACTGATGCATCACCAAATCTTTTAAAGTCACGATTATCTCTTACCAATGACTGTGTTGACGGTACATCACAATTTTGTAGTGAAGCACGTGACCTCAAGCAAAATATATTTAGAGAGCGTACTAACTCTAACGTAAGTGCCCTTTCATTTCATGGTGATGGGAGTGACCCAACGGACAATAAACATAATTTGCTTAGTGCAAGTGAGTTAAGCGATCTGATTGTTGGCAGGGGTGTTTATCCTAAGAATCAATCTGTAAGCGACACTTTCGATTCAGTATCGGATTACGTGAGGTTACCACTGCCATTTACCGGTGATAGTTACCTGAAAGGGCACGAAGACACTGCGCCATCTGATGATAACTACCCAAACTTTGATCGCCCTCCAACTCCACCCACAAGAATTGATAGTCGTAAAGGACTTAATGTATCTCTTCCTAATATGCTCAATCCAGATGAAAATGTTGCGAGTTTACCAAAATTCTTTGAGAAACCGCCCCCACCATATGAATATAAACATTTAACTTTATCTTCTATGGTACCCTCTAAACCACCACCTGCATATCCTGGCACGGTACCAACGGTCCCTTTGAAACAAATTAATGATAAAGAGGAAGTTTCAGCGAGAGTGGTCACCTCAAAACCAATGATAACTATATTAAAGGCAGAAGCAGGAGACGTTAATATTACTGGTGAACGGACATTTGCTAGCCCGATGGTTTTGGAACACCGTTTTCAAAAATCTAAACGGCACCAAGCGTCAAGTCGTCGAGCTGAGCGATCCAAATTGGCTCAAGGACTCAGCAATAACCTGTCACCTTCCAGAGAACTACCCCCTAGCATAGATTCTAATGTCTTGGTGGCAATGATGAAATTACCACCCCCGCCGCCGCCACCTCGCCGACCAAGGCTGCCACCACCACCACCCGTTAGTCGCCTACCGCCGCCACCACCTCCCACACACAATCCTATCTTCCACCAACAACTATACAGCGACGTCGACTACGTATACTATCCTCTTCAAGATCCTCTAATATCACAGCAGAACTATTTAGATCATAAACTCACGGAATCGAGGTTGTCTAACACACACAAAAACTGTTTACAATACAGAAGCACCCCATTCCTTTCTAATTCTTTATCCATTTCATCTACATATGGATCGGTTCAAAATCTATCCGATTCATACATACAAATACCTGGAGCCAGAACAAGTTGGTATTCCATGACCAGTAGAAATTCAGCAAGCAGCCATTCTATAAATCTAGAAAGACCACTAGTTCCCATGACATTGCCAGAATCTATAATGTCTCGAACGAAATCTCATGAAAATATCTTCTTCGTTAAGGATATGCCTCGTCAAAAGACAAGAAGAATGCCGCCTCCGCCTCCCCCACCTTATGAACACAAAAAGAAAATCCCATCACATTTAAAGGACTACAGAAGTCCCAATTGCAGCAAATTCAACAGTGACGTTAGTGTTAAAGGAAAATCTGGGAATTGCGATCTAGATATTAAAACACTCCGTGAAAAAAGTAAGAATCTGGACTTACCTCTTATAGCTGCGTTGTGCAATGATCGTTCATTGTTAAAACAAACAAAAGCATTTGGTGTTCCAAAATTAAACAAACAGACAAGTAGTGACTGTGAAAGTGACAGAAAAAGTGCCAAGCCTTCTCAAAACACCACCGATAACATAGATCTTAAGAATAAATACGATTTTAACACTAGGGGGGCAGTGACTGGGTCACAAAAGAAAACTTTAGTAAGAAATCCTACAGACAAACTTCCAGCATTGCCCAATTCTGAAACTCATACTCCTAGAGCAATGTCTAACACATATGTAATGCATCCAAATGTTAAACAAAAGAAATGTCAGCCGAGTTTATAAATGCATAGTCTTTACCAAAACACCTCCTAACCTTGGCTGCCACTGACCGTCACAATGAACTGCTATTCACATTATTACTTTAACAAAGACTGAAATTAGATATTAAAGTAATCCCACTGAATCTAATAACGATAAGTTTTTCTGTTATCATTACATACATCATCTATAAAACTATTATCATTCCTCAATTAAGGTTTTTATAATAAATTACCATTTTTAATAATATAGGAATATGAGTTTAGAATCATTTTATCAAATATCTCAATTGTAAGTAGTAATTGTTATACAATCGTAATATTTAGAACTAAAAATAATTGTACAAAAATAATTTATTTATTGAAGAATATTCACTAAAGGTTAAACTCTCACTATTAAATAGTGAATTATTGTAACAGCCATGAATAATGAATATAAAATACTCAACTTTAAATACTAACCTGAGGTAAATGTAATATTTGAAGTCATTACTAAGTCCTAGTTTATTTTAGGAACGTAATAATTTTCAAAACTATTTATTTTTTTCCACAATCATGTACATAAAAGTTAATTAGTTCATCTAAGTACATCATATTTTTCCATTGTGTACAAATGTAAATTTTATACATCAAATATTTTGAGTATTATTGTTTACTCCTTTAGATTTTATTCTTTAGCATTGTTATTAAAGAATAAAATCGTTCCTTGTTAATAAAAGAAATGAAATATGACGTTCATGAAAATAAATGTTTAAAATTTGTAAAGGAACAAAATATAAGTTTGGTGAGTATAAAATTTACTTTAAATCAGAAAGTATTTAATGATGATAAAATAAAGCAGAAAAAAATGTAAAATATAAGATCTTTAATAATTAAAAACGAAACAAGTACAATAATACTTTCAATTCCTTACAAACTATAGAAAAACACAGAATACAAAGATAATTTCTGAGATTACATTCCTTTTAAGAATCAAATAACAATTATTTTAAAATTTCTTCATCATGAGAATAAGTAAAATTTATTTAAATACTGGACTTATTACAGCTTTGGTTAAGATGCTTATTTTTATATAAAATTAGGAACTGTTGCATCAGATCATAAAGTAAAATATAAAATACTGTAAAACATAACACACGTATAAGTAAATAAAAATTACGTATTTCCTATCTTTGGCTTAATTACAGAATGGAAGACTATTTTTCCAATTTTAATATGATAGCTGAAAAGGGCTCAAATGTGACTTTATCCAAGTACAAAACTTCACCCACTAAGGACATGTTAGTGCTTCCTATTACAATTCCTCCGTAGAACATAGAAGATAAATCAGTAGTAATCGGCGTGTTCCCTAGATTGCCTACAAATACACATGTATTTCTGCGTGGAAACCAACGCTCAATGACAATAAGGTTACCTTCGGTTTCACGAATTTCCATACTTCTTTGTATCCTACCCTCTTTGTAAATCGATTTTAAGTATATGGTTGGTGTGGTTAATCTTAGACGTATCAAAGATCTTACAACTTCCAAGTTTTGATACTGTGGTTCCAATACAGATTTAGAATTCCAGGGCAAGATAGATGCAGGACTATTGTCAACGTTGTCTTTGCCATTGAAAGACATAGGTATTAAGTTATGAATGTGCTCATGTTCATGAAAATCTCCTTCCATTTCATTTTCTGAAAGACCGCCAAGGCTTAATTCATCACCGTAAAAGATACTGACAGTGCCCGGCAGCACCAACTCAAGTGCGGTTAAAACTAACGTGTTATTTTGGTGTTTACTAGATATCCTTTCACTATTAACATTTCCAATGTTCCATTGAATCCATGGGTAATGAGGCTTGTCCCACAGGATACCAGGTACTAAGCTGTCAATATGTTTCTTAAGACCATTAATACCTTTTTGTAAATCCAAATGAACATCAATAAGATCAATCCTACTCAAAAGTACAGTTAGACTTGTGTCTTTTGCCATATTTAACGCCTCTTCACTGGCTATAAATATTTTCCCATAACCCAATATCTGTTTCCAAACCTGAAGCGATTTTCCAAAGTTAACATCGTCAACAAATTTCTCTAGATTCTTCAAATAAAAACCATCGACATTTTGTGCACGTGACCAATATGCAATCGCTGCAGATGTTGCGTCAAAACTACTTTCTTGAGGATCTATTGAGAATACAAAGGTATCATTTTCATCATACTTATTAAGAGTTTCAACCATGCTCAAAACTGGTATATCCAAGATAACTCCCATGTTTCTTTTATGGGCCTCAGTGACCAGATCTTGAAAGTCCTTCAAAACTCCTAAACTACGGTCAATTTGTAGGAGAGATGTAGTGTTATAATAATTTTCAGGATAATTTTGAGCCTCAAAAATATAATTCAAACGAATTGATGAGCCTCCTAAATCTTTTATGTAATCCAATTTCTTGATAAGACCCTTCAAGTCACCCATGCCATCATTATTTGAGTCCTTGAAACTGGCAGGGAATATTTCATAAAATACCTTGCCTTGATACCAGGGTAGATCTGGGTTACACTCTTTTGGTATATTGATAACCATAGCTATAATAGCACCTGTGCATGCAACAAGTCCAGAGACAACAATCCATAACAGAACCTTCCTTATAATGCCCCAATTCCAGTTAACAAAATGTGGTAGTTTCCTATTGCTCACATTTAAGCTTCCATTAAGTTTACAGATTTCAGGCTGAAACATTATTAATGAAGTTAGTGAAGGTACAATAGACAATGTTAAAAAAAGTACAATACTAATACTTCAAAACTTTCATATTTTAATATGAGGAATTATGGAAGCAATTTATACTGGAAAATTAAAGGGGAATTTCCAAATATTCAGCAATATGCAATATGCAGCAGTCAAATCAAATAAATAGTTTGTCTTAAGAGTGGCTAAAATCTTACTCATATATTGTAATTTCCCCCTGTTTAGTAGCATTCAAATTTAATAGAAATTTGTGTGCAAAAATTAAAATGAGAAGACTTTTTTAATTATAATATATATTAAAAATTTATCACCTGTCCAATAATGTCGCCATTTTTACTTAGAGTCTGATAATCCAACATGCTGATGTTATTGATAAGTTGAGCACTGACGGGATCTTGGACTACCGAGTTAGAATCTGCTGAAGAACTTGAATCTCCACTGCAAGGATCAGCTGAAAAATAACATGTATATAAAAATCAGTCTCTGAGTTTTAAATTGAACTATTGGCGTAAAATTTTGTCAGAGAATATGCAATAAAATAACTGCAACATTAGTAAGGAATAAGGATGCAACGAATATAAATATTTTCATAGGATAAAAATATCTATACTAATAGATAAAATTGAAGTTTCTCATTGCAATATCAAATTAATACCTTGTTAATAAAAACTTAGAGAATGATATTCACATAAAAATTGCAATTTTTTTAAATTTTGTCCGGTTAATCTGTTGAAAGGTTGGACCAAATTATAAATTTCATCCATGGATAGATAAAGTCATAAGTAGTAACTTAGGCACTTTTAATAAGAAGAAAGATCACAATTCTACATGTTTTTTGTGTTTGTTACTTGTTCAATTAAAGCATTTTTCAAAATATTTTTTTGAAAAATCAAAAAGGGATTATCTTTATTTAGATAGCTTAATGGCCACCAAGTCAAAACCTCAATAAGGTTTTCTTGAGAATTCTGACAAATGCTCATATAAATTATGCATAGGTATCTCAATATGCAAAGCAACATGTAACAGTTAGTTTTTAAATATAAAATAAACTTTGGAATAGGAAAAAATGTGGATTAAGCATGTCTGAAATATGAGACATAAAAAATATTGTATGTTTTTTAGATTTAGTTATGGATAAATTAAATTATTGTTGTGATTGTCACAGATAAACCTTTTTCATACATATTTTTCTTTTAAACAAAATAACTGCATTACCAAATTAACCAACATTAGTTTTTACCTAGCCTAAAAAATTTACTTTTATCTTAGGAAATCCTAAATTATAAATTTAAGTTGAAATTTAACAATTATTTTCTACTGACACACAATTCTACTGACACCATATGAATTTAAAAACCTCCATAAAATTTTATATCAAAAAGTATATATTTTTTAAAGTATCAGTGTAGTAGTATTTAAATTTGAATAATCATACTCATTGTCATGTATTTAGTGAAAAAGAAAACATATTCTAAACTTACGAGAGCATTGAAGATCAACTATTTTTGAATCATCATTCAAAGCCAAAAAAGCACCTTCAGTCATTTCTTCGGAGAGTGGATGTTTAAAATCCAACTGGGTAGGGCTCGGAGTCATGGGAAGAAGTAAACACGTAGAAGATTTCACACCGCGGAGATAATCCAGAGTTTCTAGATCAGAACCCCCCGTTTTTGCACTATTTTCAGCTAAATTATCCATTTGGCTGAAATAAAGAACATATGATCGCAAGTTATTTTAGATACTTCAATGAGGTCGAAAGATCAAAAACATTGAATCTCACCCTGAGTTGTAATCCAAAACTTTTATTTAAATAATCTTCATTTAGTAGTTATTAATTATAATAAATAGTCTGTAAGTGAATGATATGACGACGTTGCTATTTATCCAAGAAGTTAAACATTAAAGAAATTAATATAGCTCAAAAAACATAAATGTCTACTAGGAGCTGTATTACGAAATACTCAACTAAGTACTAGCCGACTACGGGAACACTGTCAATTGTCATATTATACTGAGATGAGTAATTACGTTGTAATAGTACTCTATATAGTAAGGATATTATTATAATATAAATTATTTAAAAATCTACTAGCTGAAGGAATCAATTACTATGATCAAAGTTCATTTCATTATTTAGGTCATTAAGCCGAATTATTTTCAATAGTGTTATAGTTAAATAAAATAATTGTTTACCTTATAAGATATACGCACCAAAATATAATAAATAAGAAAATAGAAAAGTGGTACTAAATATTTAGAAAATATCATACTATAAAAATTTCAAATAAAACATATAATAATTCATACAGAAATATTTTTTTCATGAGACTACCTAAAATCTCCATATACAGTGCTCGGAAAAACTTTTTAAGAACAACCAATTATAATTATATGTATTTACATACTATCTACAATTCATTTTCACCCTGTTTGACACTTAAACTTTTCAATTTTGATAGCTGATCCTTATTTGACAGCTTTATGACTGAAAATGTGAACTTGTTTATTTTCTATTATTGTACTTTGGCCGGTACAAGGCGTTTACAATCTTATGATATTCTTATCAATAAGAGAACAAGTGAAATCTACAAATTTAAATTAAAAGCTTAAGAAATAAATGAGAATATAGCATTTACATTCATTCCTTAGATATATTTAATATATAACACTGTATTCAAAATGATGTCGCTAAAATTTTCTTCAATTCATAAACCATTACACCGAAGCTACGCGACCAAAGGAAAGCAGGTTAAAGATGTTAATTATCAATACTTACAAAGAAGCAAAGTGCCAACTATGCATTTTCAAAAGTCATTGCCACGTTTGCCAATCCCTGATTTAGGCAAAAGCCGTGATCGCTACCTCAATGCTATCCGGCCCTTACTCGCTAAAGACCAGTATGAAGCCGCTGTGAAAAGAACTGATAACTTTGTAAACAAAGAGGGTAAAGAATTACAATCCAAATTAGTTAATAAGGACAAATTAAACAAGCATACCAGCTACATATCAGATTATTGGTTTGATCTTTACTTAAAAGATAGATCAGCTCTACCCATTAATTATAATCCATTGATTGTGTTTCAAAATGATTTAAGACCAGATTATAATAACCAGTTACTAAGAACCTCAAATTTATTAGTGAGTGCAGTGAGATTCATGATGGCTCTAAGGGAACAAATTCTTGAGCCTGAAGTGTATCATTTGCAGCCAAAAAAAAGCAATACTCCTTTATTCAGGACAGTTACTGGTTTGCTACCAGAAAGACTATCTTGGTAAGTGTAACTGAGTCCAATTGTGATATTCTTTTGAATGAAATCTTGTACATATAATTATGTTTTTTGTAGGTATGGAGCCTATTTATTCAAAGCATTTCCCTTAGATATGAGCCAATTTGTTGGTCTATTTAATGCAACTAGAATACCTCTAGTGAGTAAAGATAAAATCTTCAGGGATGCGAGTTGTAATCATGTTGTGGTACAGAAAAATGGTCATTTCTACATCTTTGATGTTGTGGATTCTGATGGTTAGTTATGATTTTCACTTTATCACTCCTTTAGGTACTAAAGTTGTTGAATTTATGTAAGACTGTTCTCCCATACTCATTTCTGATTCGATTACTTCTACTTTGTGTAAATAATTCATACTTATTAATAAATGTCTTCCAGGTAACATACTGTCACCGACAGAAATCTTAGGTAATATGTCTCAAATAATGGAAGACAAAACACCGAAGGCTGAATATCCCTTAGGAATATTAACAACCCAAAATAGAGATGTGTGGGCTAAACAGAGAACATATTTAGAAGAAAATGGTAATCAAGAAACACTTAGAAAAATTGATTCAGCCATATTCAACATAGTATTAGACGATGAAACTATTGATGGCAATAAACACAAAATATTAACAAATTATTTACATGGGGATGGATTGAATAGGTATTTGTTATTTTTTATATTAATAAGATATTCCTAAACTCGTCATTGCCGTATAGAATTAATAATGTATATGTGAATATTTTCTCTTTGTAGATGGTTTGATAAATCATTTAGTCTCATCACTACTAAGGATGGCGTTTCTGGTATTAACTTTGAACATTCGTGGGGAGATGGCGTCGCTGTGCTCAGGTTCTTTGAGGATATTTATAAAGAAACTACAACAAAGCCATTCTTAACTCCAGACAGTAAACCCTCTAAGAACAATATAACTGTAAAAAAATTAGGTGAGTCCCAAGTTGTATATTTTTATTTGTAACTTCATCTTCCAGTTACGTTGTAAGTTATTATTTAACAAACTTATTTTATATTGATTTGGTACTTTCAATAAGTTGCTATAATTTAACATTATATGCTTAGATCAAAGCATTAAATATAAAATTAGGATTAATAACAAATTGTGTATTATATAAATAGATAATCTGTATCTTGGTGTCCTAGTTAGAATTTCTCAAAATTTTTCATGTATTTTATAAAAAACTTTGTTAACATAACATTTAAAATATTTTTCAGCAAGTAAAATTTGTGAATGGTTAATTAACCAGATTTATATATTTTTTCAGAGTTTAATTTGGATGATAAATCGAAAAACTTTATTATGAATGCTAAAAATGAATACAGTGATTGGTGCAACTCATTAAGCATTGATTATATTTTGTATGAACAACTAACAAAAGAGGCTTGTAAGAAATTTAAAGTCAGTCCAGATTGCATAATGCAATTGGGTTTTCAGGTAAATTGTCTTATTTTTTTATAATCTAATTATGAACAATTTATTTTATAATTATATTGTTGTAGGCTGCATATCATTTGTTGCACGGGAAATATGTGGGCACTTATGAATCCTGCAGTACATCAGCATTTAAACATGGAAGGACAGAAACTATGAGACCTTGCACAGATAAAACAAAGGTAATTAGATATAATAACAATTAAAGTATTATCTATGTTATAGTTCTATTCCTTTTATGAATGATATGAGAATTTTATTTACATTTGAGTTTAATACAATTCACAAGTATTTTTTTTATTGTGTTATTGTATGTTCATATGAAAAATAAATAAACAAATTATGTACATATATCTGAATTAAGGTGTCTTATTTTTGTAGAAAAACTATCCCTTATTTTGGAAGATAGCTCTAATTTAAAAAGAGACTCTTATATTTTTTCTTACATATACACAACAAAAATCTAACTCTTATGTACTTTCAGGCGTTCTGTGACCTACTACATTCTAAGAAGGCATCAGATCAGGAACTGAGAGCATTGATGCAGGAGTGTTCATTATATCATTCCAACTTAACAAAAGAAGCAGCTATGGGACAGGGTTTTGACCGACACTTGTTTGCACTAATGAAGATAGCCGAAGAAAATCATTTACCGAGACCTGAAATATTTGATTCCTATGAATATAAGTACTTGAATAAGTCAATATTGAGTACAAGTACATTGTCCTCTCCAAGTGTATTGGCCGGTGGTTTTGGTCCCGTTGTCAAAGAGGGTTTCGGAATTGGGTAAGTTTGGTTTAATGTACCAGACAGTGGAAGACATTTGTTGGAAATTACCATTAATAATAATTAAGTCAGAATAGATAAAAATAAGTACAACTTAGCCGTAATTCTCATAGAGCTGAAAATTGGTATCGACATTGAATAATCATTGTGAATAAAATTCAAATATCCTCTTCGATTCCACTTCTAAAAAAATTTATTTCAACATCAAGAGTACAAAATTAAGGTTTTTTCCAATTTTCTCAAAAGCGGCAAGTATTATGGTGACAAGTTGGACATGAATCGTAGAACATAAAATTCTCTACAAAAATGGCCTGTCGCTTTTCTCTTACGACATTACAAAAATAATATTTTCCATTAAAAACAATAGGTTTAGGCAAAAGTATTCTAAGGAATGTTTTATATACGAGCAATCGTATAATGTAGCGCCGATTAAGCATTGTAGTAACAATAAGTAATACTAATATAAAGCAATGACATTTTTAATTCTAGTTGGTATTCTGTAATTTTTGCAAATGGATGCCACTTCGAATGTAACGTTTTTATTAATATTGAAATAAACATAATATTCTATCATCCTTATACTTCATATATTCTTGTAATTCAGACTGCGATACTAAATAAATGGGACAATTATTTTATAACCCTTACTACATTCGATTCTTCGTAAAACTAATCTTATTTGACCATTGAATTGGACACAGAATAACTGATATATCTGTAAAAGTGGCGTTGCGTGGTAGAAGTCTATAAATCCCTCATTGAAGCCCCACAAACCTAAATAATAGATTAATGTTAAACACATTTAATGTTTTTTATTTAATTGCAGGTATTCAGCATTCGCAGATAAACTAGGTGCAGCCGTAGCAAGTTATAAACAACACAATAATAGTAGCGAATTCGTACAGGCTCTACAAAAATCATTTGAAGATATAAGAAAAATTTTGAACTCTTGATTGTCTATTCACAACAATGCAATCTATTTATTTATGATCATTATTCCTATATGTATTGTTGTACATTAGTACATATATATTGGTACATATTATTTTACCTTTTATATATGTATAAGACAGCCAGTTGTGCCTTATAAACATATATTCATATTTTACTATATATGTAACTATTTATACAAAAATTGTATAATTTATTTATATAGATTATAAGATACAACGCATAATTTTTATAAACCGTATTCTTAATCAAATGTGTTTTATACATAGTTTTGTAACATAATTTTATTTTTATCTGCTAATATAAGGAAATTATAAAATCATAATGGGAAAATATATTTAAAAACTGTTGCATTAATCAAATTTGTATTAAAAATAAAGCTTTTATATTTTTCTTGTTATTAATCTTATTGTTATATTTTTAGGTAGTATATTTTTAATAAATAAAATACGAATGTTGTGTGTTTTTATTCAAATAAACTCTGCTATTACTCTCACAGATAAAATAATCGTGAAACTTTTGAATATTAATTTATTTTGTACTATTTTAGTTTTCTGTAAATAATATTTCTTTATGAAGATGATTAAATTCTAAAAAAATTATTGTTATTTAAAATCTAAACCACGTTTTATTGGTATTAATTTATAAAAAAGAACCTGAAAAAACTTATGTATAGTGGTCTATATATTTTTTTATATCTCTCCTTATATTTTCAATACTTATAGAATATGTAGACTGTAACAAACGTTGATTTTTATTATTACAATATTAGTAACAATGATTAAAGCAGAAGAATATTTTTATCAACATGCTCTTTATATTCTTAATAATGATAACGAAAATGCTAAATTTATTTACTGTTTTGGCTTAGATATCATATTATGCCCTAAGTTAAAAATAAAAGTAGAGATTAAAGCCTTATTAGAAACTCAAAACTTAATTTAATATCATTTGCAATGACAATATTGATTTTCGGTAGAGTTCAATATGATCAACGTTCCAATCCACGTTAGCGTAATTATCATTGTAATGCCATTTCTGCAATTTATAACTATATTCCACCCTTATAAAATGTTGTAAATGTAGTTTTTATGTTTCTTTTCTTTTAGAAAAACTAATCTTGCTATGTATATAATTTAATTAAACACTCAAGTGAAGAGTAACGTAAATAAATATGTGAAAGGAATGTTGCGTGAGCCATTGGCTAATTGGAAATGGGAAAATGTCAAAGTTCATCCGTACAATATGTAGTGAGAAGCAACGTATCGTGAAAAATAAATATATTTCTAATTTATGTTGAAATAAATGTATTTAAGAAGTGCTAGTGAATAATTATTGTTAAAAGATGGATAATATTACACTTCTATAACCGAAGGTGAGTATTTACATTGTTCTAATTTAATATATAGTCAAAAGGTAATAAAAATTGTTGTAAAAATGTGTTATTAAAAATTCTTAGAATTTGTGAATGAGTTTTTATTTTTATGTTGTCTTTACTTTTTCGCGAATTGTAATCTCGCATAATAGACATAATTAAATAAGTATAAATATCATTGCGTCGCACTTAAAGTGTATTATAGTATGTATGAAAAAATTCAGGACTGTTTTCCGATATCACAACGAAGTGAACAAAAATCTTGTTTTTAAAATATACCAAGTGTTTTTTAAAAATATCTTTAACACAGTCGTCTATTGAAATTCGTAATTTTACTAAAAATAAAGTAGTTTTTGTAGAAATAAAGTTATAAAATTACGAAACAAAATTATGGCTATTATATGAAATTAATGATAATAATGTTTAATCGATTTTTTTAAATGATTATGTCACAAAAAAACCGATAATGATAAATAACACAAAAAATGATGTACTCAGATAATTATTTTTTTGTATTATCAACAGTTGCATCTTAAAGATTTTTCCTTTCAAAATTATATCATATAAAAATAATGATGAGACATTATAAAAAAATAAGATATTACATAGCCAACACAGTTTATGTGCCTATTTATTATTTTGTGTAAATCTTATTTAAATTATTAAAGGTTGTAAGTAATTTGTGTGTAACAGAAAATGGGTATCTTTTAAGTATCTCCACTAAAGATATATAAAAATAATAATAATTATTGGACACACTTAATAAAAAATGAAGTTGGTTAAAAAAACATTTAAAGCAGAATAGTTATTGTGTAAACTATATTTACTAGGTATATAAAATAGGTATATGATTAAGCGATCTTCTCAATCTTTTCTTCAAACACTAATAGTACTGCAAATATTTTCAAACTTCATGAATAATTCATTCATATTTATATCTTTGTAGGAATTAGAAGTGATGACTCAATTCCAGTTTTCTTTGAATATTAAAAATAGCTAACAGTATGTACTCATAGATTTGAAGAACTTGTATTGGTGCAAGGAATAAAATTTTTAAAACAAAATTACATAATTTATACAACCAAAACCGTAATGGCTCAACTGAATTAAGTTAAATATGGATTTTATAAAACTTTATTTTATCAGAAGATACTTAGAAAAGTACACAAAATAAAAAAATAATTGACTTATTGACCAAATTAAAAATATATATATATATGTATGTATATGTCTTAGTAATCTACATATTCTTTATATCTATATTTATCTCTTTAATCCTATTTGTATTAGAAAGATTATATTGTGTTAAGTATTTAAAGAAAAATAAGCTTAATTATTGTATTTATAATAACTGATGTAGTAACAAAAATTCACCAATATGATTAAACTGAAAACCTGCCATTTTAAAGATAGCAATGTATCCTGGTTAGTTCAACTTTTAAGTTATGACTAATAATATAAAATTTATATAATAATGTCTTATAATTTTTTTAAATAAACTTGAGATAAATTGTTCATAATAGATGGCCTTTTCCTCCCCTTGTGATGTTAAATATAGAATGCTTATTCACTCACTTCAAGGACACTATAATTATCTTGGCAAATTCACGAAAACTTGATATTCTTGAAGTTATAAATTTACAATTCATAAGTATTTATATTTTAGTTAAAATATCTGTCTTTATATTCACAATATAATTTTTGTTTCAGGAAGGATATTTATTTTATGTCAAGTATTTGAGCGGCAAGATGTTAATCAAAGAATATAGAATACCGTTGCCACTCACTGTAGAGGAGTATCGCATAGCCCAATTGTATATGATAGCAAAGAAAAGCCGAGAAGAAAGTTCCGGTGAGGGTAGCGGAGTTGAGATTATTGTTAATGAGCCATATGACAATGGCCCTGGTGGAAATGGTCAGTATACTCAGAAAATATATCATGTTGGAAGCCACTTGCCTGGTTGGTTCAAAAGCCTACTTCCTAAATCAGCCTTAACTGTGTCCGAAGAGGCATGGAACGCTTATCCCTATACTAAAACAAGATACACCTGTCCATTTGTTGAAAAATTTTCCCTTGAAATTGAAACCTATTACTTTGCTGACAATGGTCATCAGGAAAATGTCTTTAAATTATCAGGAAGTGACTTAAAAAATAGAGCTGTTGATATTATCGATGTAGTTAAGGATCAGCTTTATGGCGCGGATTACGTGAAAGAAGAAGATCCAAAGATATTTGTATCTCAAAAATGTAACAGAGGGCCATTGTCGGAAACATGGCTTGAAGATTACTGGAGAGAGGTTCAAGGCAAAACACAGCCATTACCGAATGGCAAATCACTTATGTGTGCGTATAAGTTATGTAGGGTGGAATTCCGTTATTGGGGAATGCAAACGAAATTGGAAAAGTTTATTCACGACGTGGCGCTTAGAAAAACGATGCTCCGAGCTCATCGGCAAGCATGGGCCTGGCAAGACGAATGGCACGGCTTGACTATGGACGATATAAGAGAAATTGAGAGACAAACACAGCTGGCTCTGCAAAAGAAAATGGCGGGTGATGTTGGTGAAGACACAGATTTATCTGAAGAGAATTCAAAGTCTTTAGCTGCTACTATGAGCAGTCTTGAAAAGAACGAGGATACTGCGAGTCCAGTATCGGTCAAGAAAGGCATGGAAAAGAGAGTACAAAAGCAATTAAGTCCTGAAAGTACTCCTCCATCAGAGCCCAAATCATGTTCAAAGTCTAACCTTAGATCATCATCTTCGGGGTCTTTAAAAAGCTTGCAAGTCCAAGTAGCCAGTTGGAGAATGGAAACCCTTGTAAGAGAATCAGAAACAGAGACTGGTTCTGAAGATGAGTTTTATGACTGCGAATCTTCATTTAACAAATGGTCTTCAATGTGTTCTTTAGATGAAGGTGATATTGATATCTCGCCGACACAAGGTGATCTAAATCAAGAAGATAGTATATTTAATCCGACGTTCTTAAAACGAGTTACCTCAGAAAGAGGTTCACGTAGGTTGACAAGCTTGCAAAGTCACCAGAGCATAGATGGATGTCCTGAAACTCCAGTTCATAGTTCCTGTCCTACAACAGTTTTAATACTTGTTTTTCACGCTGGTAGTGTACTTGATGCAAATGTTGACATGACTGCAAAGAAATCTGACGTCACTACATTTAAAGGGGCTTTTGAATCCGTTATGCGTCAACACTATCCTACTCTTGTGGGACACATTACTATAAAATTAGTTTCGTGTCCGTCTCTCTGTACAGAGGCTCTTGGAGTATTATCTACTTTGAGTCCCTACAGCTTTGATTGCTCTCCATCTACCGTGGACAGTCCATCTCTGACAAATGATCTCATACCGATAGGTGCTATACCACTTATAGCAACCTCTTCTCCAGAGTATCATGAGTATGTAACTAAAACCATCACAGCTGCTAATGTTGTTTATAATGACTTTATTAAATCAGATGATGGAAAAGGTTTTAACGGTCAGGTCTGCATCGTCGGTGATAGTATGGGCTCCATATTAGCATACGACGCTTTGTGTCGAACATTACAATACCAGTCGCGACATGATAGTGAAAATAGTATATTAGATACTGAGATAACCATCCGTAACGAGCCCTCGGAACATTACTTAAATAAATCTCATCTTCAAGCTCCGACGCCAAGAAGACGATCATCCACAGCCAGCGATAATCAAACAAAGTTGGAATTTGAAGTTAGTGACTTCTTTACTTTTGGGAGTCCGCTATCACTTATACTAGCTTCAAGAAAAATATCAGATGACAAATTTAAAGATCTCACGAAGCCACCCGTTCAACAAATATACAACTTATTTCACCCGACGGACCCTGTCGCGTCTAGATTGGAACCATTACTGTCAGCAAGATTTAGTAATCTAGCACCGATTAATGTAGCTAGATATGCTAAGTATCCTCTGGGTAACGGTCAGCCATACCATTTGATGGAGCTCATACATACTCATCCGACGTTATTCGGTGACCACCTACCAATGCCACCTACTCCTGTTTTAAGACGACTCTCTGAAGCATCAGTGCAAAGTACAGTTAGTGGATTAGTGGACAATATACCATTGATCACAATGAATGCTCTCCAACAGAAATGGTGGGGCACGAAACGATTGGACTATGCCCTTTATTGCCCCGAAGGGTTAACGAACTTTCCTATGAATGCTTTGCCACATCTATTTCATGCAAGCTACTGGGAAAGTTCGGATGTTATTGCTTTTATATTGAGACAAGTGGGTCATTTTGATTTGGCTCTGTACGGTCAACAAGAAGATAAAGACTGTTCTCTGTTTAAACCAGGACAGGATAAGGAAAAGTGGATGAGAAAACGTACATCGGTTAAATTAAAAAATGTCGCAGCCAACCATAGAGCCAATGACGTGATTGTCGGCGAGGGCTGTCCGCAAACATTCATCGCTAGATTTATGTACGGGCCGTTAGATATGATAACATTGACTGGGGAGAAAGTAGATATACATATGATAAGAGACCCCCCCGCTGGTGAATGGACTTTATTATCGACAGTTGTTACTGACAAAACTGGAAGGATTACCTACACACTGACTGATAAGCAAAGCGTCGGATGTGGTATCTATCCCGTCCGGGCAGTCGTACGTGGTGATCACACTAGTTGCAACTTCCACCTCGCAGTGATCCCTCCACAAACGGAATGTGTAGTATTTAGTATTGACGGGTCATTCACGGCGAGTGTCTCGGTCACTGGTCGTGACCCGAAGGTGAGGGCTGGTGCCGTGGATGTGGTACGTTTCTGGCAGGATCTCGGTTACCTCATCTTGTATATAACAGGAAGACCTGATATGCAACAAAGGAAGGTCGTCTCCTGGTTAGCGGAACACAATTTTCCTCACGGTTTAGTCTTCTTCTCGGACGGATTCTCCACCGATCCTTTGGGCCACAAAGCCGCTCATCTACACAGTCTCATAACCGAACATGGAGTTATATTCCAAGCAGCCTACGGTTCTGGTAAAGATATTAACGTGTACCACAACTGTGGTTTGCCGCAGAAGCAAATATATGCTATTGGGAAGATAAGCAAGAAATATAATAACCTGGCGACAACCTTGAATGATGGTTACGCTTCTCATTTGGCGGATTTGAAGCAACCAGGGGCAGTGAGGCCCGCCAGGGGGAACGCCAGACTTCTCGTACCACGGCGTCTGCTTGCATCAGTAAGTAATTCTTCTTCCCGTGGACGTCGCTAAACAATACATTATCACAGAAATATCTGTTATAATTCAATTATCTATTTACATTTTATTTCCATTTCATTGAAATCTTTAAAGATTTTAAAATTTATTCTTTTTATTCCACAGATACCGATATAAAAGATTTATATTTTTTCATTGTGAATAATTATTATACTTATATATATAAAAAAAGGTGTATGTATTAAATGTAGGTCTTTATAGACGTAAAATATTATATAAGTTTACTCTTCACTGCGTACCTTACTAATTTATTACTATAGTATATTGTATCGTGTTATGTAAAGTCTGTTACTAATGGGATAATCGCCCGTGTAGTCGCGTATCCTATTGTTAATCCATTTGGAAGGCTGGGAATCTCGTAATATATTCATTGGAAATCTAGTCTTATAAGGTCGAATACACATCGTACCGTGGACTGCACATCCATACTAATCTAACCTTAGAAACTTAAACAAGAAATAATAAATGTTATAATTATCGCTATATTTTTGAGTAATTCGTTCGAATAATTTATTATGTGGTGGTTTTATTGCGTTAATTATTTCCTGTTTATGAATTCAAACCCGATATCGGACAGGGAATTGTGATCGGCAGTACAGTGTGGATTTGACCTAAAGCTGAATTCAAATTATTTATATGTCAAGGGTATTCTATAAATAGACTAATGGAGAAAAATATATACAGCATATTGCTTAAACATATGGTAAATAAAACAAGTTTCATCTTTATATAATAGTATAGGTGAATGAGTTACAAAACGTTAGTATTGATGTTACTAAGTATTAACTACGCTTTTCAAGTATAATGATACCTATTACTGTAATTTGTTATAGTCACAATATTCAAAATTTTGTCTAAAATGATCTGTCTTGTTGTATAAGTACTTGTTTTCATTATTTTTTGAGATATTTATATAGTATATAAGAAATATATTATAGTCCTTGAGATGACTTAAATAATGATATTACAAAAATTGTTGTTAATTAACTGTCATTAATTAAAATAAAATTTTAGTTCAACAGCAATTTTATATATAATTTTTTTATCTATATATGAACAAAAACTTTAAAGCGCTTTGTCCGTGTGTGGCGTCTCTAATGTATTTTTAATATGTATGAGTTCCTATATACCTTATTTAATTTAATAGATTGAATTTTTTTATATAGATTTACCCTGTCGTTTTCTGCATTTATTTTCTTGTCTATAAACGTACATAGATAAAATATAAATTTGATGAGATTTTTTTAATCCGATTAGAGATTTTATAAGCCTATTTGTTTGGTTTGTATTTGATTATACATTTAAAAATAATGATAATAATTAAAATACTGGTTGTGGTTCCAGTGTTGCAAGTCTAAAACACATCAAATATGTTTTATAAATTAGATAAAATAGAAATCGTTTAATTAACTTAACATTGTTTTATGGAAAATTTATAAAAGTTTTGATAACGTAACCTTTATTTCTATACTGTAATATTGAATTTTTTTTGTACCAACATTCCCTATGTAACTGCTAACGCTAGATAATAGTCCGGTTGAGAGACGCGAAACAATTTCATATTATGGATGTACTAAAATAGTTTATGGTGTAAATAGTTTACGTGTACGCTTCTATCAACTGTTCCGCTGTAGTCTGGACTTTTAATATTTTATATAGTCCGTGAAAAAAAGAAACATCAATCCCGGTTTGTTTTGTTTATATATTTTTAATTTGTTTTCATGATGAATAGTGTTCTGTTACTTATTTTTCATTCATTCGTACACTTTATTCGTTTTAGGAGTAAGTTCCATCTATACATTTAATATTTGTCACGTGCAATTTTTTTATGAGATCACATTTTAGTGGCTTCTCGGTGGCAGTCGGCTTATTTTAACAATCTTTGTCATAAAATCCATACTCCAGGATCCCTTCAATTATATATTCCAGAGGGGTCTTGTCAATTATAATATGTACCTACATAGAAACAGTATTTTTAGAATCATTTTAGATATGATATTTATCCAGTTGCTACATTTTTAATTTTCGTTATTATCATGTTTATATTTGATTAATGTTATGAAAATGTTAAGTTATTCGTTTTATTATAAACATATGTAGAAAAATGTATTTAGAAGTGCGTTTGTGGGTAGTTACATAAAAAGTATGTTGTATATTCATTAGTTATTTTAAAAATCGACAGTCTTGTAGCGACATCTATGCTAGTATTTTGTTTTTTTGGTATACAAGACCTTGTTCTTTTAATAAAAAATTTAACTGACGACTTTTAGTTTGAAGTCCAGAATGTTTTTATCGCCACTTGTATCAAAAGTTTTTACTTAAGAAAATTTATTATACATAAGATCTAAAATTTATCAGCTTCTGTTTATAAAGTTTTCAATGTTATGAATTTTGTAACTTATTTTTATAAATTTCTTATTGTAGTCAAGGTATGTCGATAAATTTTTGAAGATCTGACGGATTGTCTTCTTTTTATTCAGTGTCACTATATTATAAAATGTGTATGTTCAATAATGTAAGATTTAAAGAACTAAAAATCTTTCTATTGTTTCTGACGAATTTATTTTACCACTTATGTATTTGGATTTATAAATTTTTCCGATAATGTGCTGTGCCAGCTTCAATTCTTTTTGAATTAAGTCTATTTATAAATGTAACTGTGTGGATAAATAAATTATTGTTGTTAAATCTATACTTTGTCTTTTCCTTCATTAACTACAACACAATCCTAATTCTATCACTTTCAGACATTAAGTAAAACACAAACTTTTTTTTGTATTTTTTTATTTGCATTCATTGATCGATGGACAATAATAGCACATGACAACATATTATACCATTTATAGACTAGATATTTATGTATTTAACATGACATAAGAGGCGATTAGTAGAAATTTACTAAATAAAAATATATTTTGCTTAAACTATTATCTTATGCTTCTAAATTATATCACAAAACGATGTTGTGTTCGAAAGTAAAATTCGAAATCTATTTTATAACGGATATAGCTATTTGCTATATAATACTAATTTATTTCTTTTAAGAATTGACATTTTCAAAGTTATTGACATAACCATTAAATTTTGTACATAACTTTGTAAGGATAACCATCAAAATTACATATAGATGGAAAAAAAGTGTTCAAACCAGTACCAATAACTTGATTTGATATATTTTTTAAATCAACTTCGATTTTATCCAGAAAATATTTTGTGCAATTCATTTTTTTAAGTAGAATTGTTTTAAAAATTTATACAATTAAAAAATAAAATTTGTCGTGGCCATATGAGACTAATTGTACTTCATATTTTTTAAGACGAATACAACAAAACGAACATACAACCTGTATATAATTCACATATAGAAACATTTACGCGTCAGTGAAGGGAAGTATTTTTCAAAATTCAAATATGCCTGATACAGCAACATAAAAAAAGAATCAAAAAGACTAATGAAATGATGAACATGACAACTATTAAATTCAATATCTCTTTGACTACAAGCTAGGAATATTTAAATAAAATTTTACTTTAGAAATCAATCTACATATACTACTTTAAAAGGCATTGGAGTCCAAGAAAAAATCTATAAAATATTTTTAGGAATTGATCCTTTTCTTGTAAAATGTTATCTTTTTTATTAAATACATATAATACGAATTTCTTCTTAATGGCCCAATAACTTTTCATTCCTTTGAAGAAATATGTTTATACCACACAAGTACAACTATCAAATACATATAAATTAATGTATACTAAAGTTACCTACACAACATTCTCACAAATACAACATTCACTTATCATTCCATTATAATTCTTTTTGTTATTTAAAACATTTCAACAGCAGATTCATTTTATTTTCAATTTCATCATTTAAATAAACATTCTCATAATCAAAACTGCATTGAGGATTTATTCCAATTTCTAAAATCTTAATAAAGCTTTTTTAATGAACTGTTGTCTAAGTGTTGGCACTTAATATTTTTAAGCTCTATAATTTACAAATACCGTGCCACATATATTAATTATAATTATGAAACCTTAAGACGTGCATAGTTATATATAAAAATATGACATACCAGTTGCATATGAGAAATGTATTTAAAAATAAAATAAAAATATTAATACAAATTTATATTTAACTGGTGTGTGACGTATCTAAACTTATGTATTTAAATTAGGTTTAAATTTCACTTAAATTATCGTTAAAGGCATACAATGGAACATTGAGTTTTTATTACATACTAAAAAAATTAACGTGTATTTGATCACTTAAAATAATACTAAATACCTACATGAAACGATATTTTAACCATGATAGGGGACTCATACATAATGAATTCTAAAAATTACCTTATAGTTGCTTGAAATATTCATTACTCAAATAAAGTAATGTAAATAGGAGATGAGTTTTTCAATATAAAAACAAAAATATTAAATGACTATGAAGCAATGTTATTTGTCACGTTAATCTAGCGTATCTTAATCTTTTTTAATAAAATCTTACAAATTTTACAAACATCTATAAAACTTTAATTACTCATATTAAAACCGTAAAATCCGTACAATATTCGTTTGTCAAAATGACATTGACATCTGACAATTAAAAGTACATAGGTACCTAATATGGATCCCCGGCGGGCAAGTTGAATTATTTGTATCTTGTAACTTAAATCAGATATAACAAATTCAATTAAAAAAAGGTCATTTAAGAGTGAACGAATTTATTATTCTGATTGGTGATTCTGACAGTAGTTATCCAGATAATAATATTATAAATATAGTTCAGATGCATATCTTAATTCAATAACCTTTGAAAAGTATTAGGTATCATGCCAATAATAGATAGCGACAAGATGTTAAATTCAGTACAAGTACATTCAAGGTTACAGTAATGAAAAACATTCGATTTGTGAAAATAATATAAACTCAAATTAAAAAACATATACAACGTGTAACGTAATTAACGCACACCCTCAAATACCCCAATGCGTATATAATGATATAAACGCAATGCATACACCAAATATTATTTATATGTGCGTTTGAATTTTTTTATTTGTGAAATTAGTTATCCCAATTTCGTGCAAATAATATGGTCCGCTATTCAGCGACACTCTGTACTCGCCGCGCCCGCGCCCCTCTCTCCGAGTGCCGTCCGACAATAATAAGAAGTAGGTAATAATAAGTACACGAAATAACTACATACATTATGATTTTTCTTTCCATCACACTTTTCAAGCTTTAGATTGTTGACATTGAATTTTCTTTTTAATGTGAAGCCAGTATTTTATAATTACTGATTTGTTAAATTAAATTTGTAAATAAGAATTATTAAACAGCTGATAACGCGTGATTTGAATAGACACCACAATACCTACGACAAAGTTAAACACAGTCGGCCTGTTTAAATGGTGTGTATCAAAATATTTACAATAATTTAAAGATCATAAACAAACTTACAGTTTAATTTGCACGCGCACAGCGTTGTCGTTTTAAAACATTTTCAAAATGTCCACCGCCTTGTTTAATGCACTTTAATGACCGTTTTCGCAATTGTGGTTTTATTTTAGATAATACTGCAATGTCACTTTTCACTTTTACAAAGGCGGTTATTATCTTATTTTTTACTTTTACTTGTTATCTCTGTGTTATAAACTAGCGATTTAATTCGCCCCCACAAAAAAAAAGTCGAGTCGCGTCAAATCAGCTGATCTAGGAGGTCAATGGACACGTGCGTAGGTATTTGATGTATTGAATGTTAGTGTACCGAAACGACACTGCGAAATGCGCGACTAAGATTTTATTTGCACTTTACACTTGACCTCTTTTCGATAAGGTGGACGCGGCGTAACTAACCCAAAACACATTTTGTTGACTTCGATGTTTAGTTATTATTACTCTGATTCCCGGAATTATGCCTGCCGTCTCGCTCTATTGTAATGTTATTAAGCCAAAGAAAGAAGGAGAAAGTAATAATTTTTGTATTACGCGGCTTTCTTTTATGCACTGTAGTGACCTTGCTGTGTGCCGGTTGTCGCTATGGTGTTGCGTGCGTAGTTATTATTAAATACTATTTTAGCCTTGAAATAAGTATCAGTTTTCTTTAATTGAATGATGATTACTAATTAAATATTTCATTTTAAAAATCTTAATACCCTGACTTACGATCCATTTTCGTTTCCATTAATTTTCGTTTCTATGAAGTGTTTAGATAACTGTGTGTAGGGTGACTATAATTTACTTAGTTCTATCTAAATTTGAGAAAAAAAATGACCTACATAAAAAACTATCAAAATCGATCCAGTATCCGATTCTGATCAAACTACTTTCAGGGTGTGCGTTAATTATGTTACACGTTGTATAAAGATTATTATACCTACTCATGTCTAATTTTTTTACTTAAAGTCGCCAAAAATGTCATACAGATTTTGCATATCTGAGAATATGTCATACATTATAGTTCAACTTGTGCGCCGAAGATCGAAGTTATAGGGCTTTTTCTTCATATTTTATAGCAATTAGTGTTGCTATGAGAAGATAGCCCCGTTTTTATGAGGTCTTGTAAATATAACTTCTTCTTCATCAGCATTCACACTTTCAGCAGTTGTCAAAGCAACTGTGTCACTGTGTACCACATGCGGGGATTCACTGAATTCATCCAATTCTTCAATTCCAGCTATAAATACAACCATGACCTTACCAAAAACATTCTCATAGAAAAAATGTGCATGTTGATATTATTTTGAAATTAAACTTTTTATTACTTCAATCAAACATATTTTATAATATCATATCTTTCATATTTTTTTAATTTACGGATTTGAAATACATAATATTAAACAAAACTGATATAAATGTAATATGTTCCTTAAGGTATTAAATATACAAAAAAAAATGTGTTTGCAACATTCCTGCAGAACTAGTAATACTATTAGTTTTTGGATTTATTATATGTTTATAATTAATTTTACCTACATACTACCAACATTCTAGGTGCTTGAATTTTCAGCAAAAATAATAGTTTTATTTCAATAAATACTAGCTTAAGCCTTATTATCTCACTATCCAACAGAAGAATAAATTTAAAATAATAATCATATTTAACAAAACCTCAACAAACTTACCTGTATAATCAGAAGGTGTGAGCAATAAGTACTGTTCGGAGCGTGTTGGCCACAAGAGATGAGCCATCACACAGAATGCTAAACAATCTGCCGAGTAAGTTATGCCTGGAAATTAAAATGGTTGATGGTTGTATTGGTTATATATTGTATAACACAAGAATTAAACACTATATCTTATAAATTTATATCCTAAGGAAAGATTTGTATTAAAAACTTTGACTGATATCTTAATCTACATAAAAGTTTTAATAATACAGAAGACATTGCTTAAATAAGGATTATACATATATATTGATATAAATAAATATAACTTTTGGATTTGTATTTATGAATAATCTGCTACATACTTCCCTATTGGTTACAATTGCTAATGCTAAAATACAGATATTCATTTTTATTATGTACTAAAAGAAATATATATATAAATCATCAACAGACTAAATTCTTGTAAGAGAAAAAAATATGTAAAATTAAATATTAACTCACCTAGAAGAAATTTGAATCTCCACAATGGACTTATTTGTAGGGCAATTAGTGCTATAATTGGTAAGTAGACGAACCACACGAGACTTGATGCACCAAAGTGTAGTAGGAAGTTAAGTTTCGGCATATTGTGTTCATACATCATAGTGTTACGCAGCTCAAGAACAAACCATGACATTATAACAACTCTCAGAGTTAAAACAAGCCATCCCGGCCATGTTTGATATTCATCTATCTCTTCTATAATATCAACTTCAGTCTAAAGAAAGTAATGTTAATTAAAAATTATTGGCTATAAATATATATAAATTTGAATGATGTCATTTAATTAATAATTGAAGAATAATAAAATTTTATATTGAGGAAACTGTATTGTTTGGGCAGGATATATAGTTAAATTAGGCCAAAAAGCATGTAATAATAGATATATCTAATCAATTATTATTTATATATACTTACAGTGTTCCATACATACAACAGTATATGGACTACACCATATACTAGCCAAACTCCAAATACCAATGGTTTGTATGTCAGTTCGAGTCGTGTCACAGCCCAACCTTTTGCTAATAAAAGCAGGAGTAGCATAAACAGTGTCTGAAAGAGGTAATATTGTTTTAAAATTTATTACTAACTAGCCGTAACCGAAGTGCTTCACAAATCAAATTACAAAAATTTTAATATTTCTTTGTTAACAACAGTTCCTGTAATCAATATTGGAGATGAGTTATTACAAAATTCAATCATAGATATTTTCTACATTACGTATACAAGATTTATAACTAATTTGAATCATGTAAGAGCTATATTTTACAAATGATTTTTTTTTATTGTTGACTTCCTGGCAACACATCTTGTTAGTGGAATTTCAATCATAGCTGACTTCTACTCGGCAACATTAACATTCCTATCTTTCAAGTTTCTATGTTTTATGTCTCTAGATATGGTATTGAGTCAATATAGTGTTGGAAGTCCATTATATGTTTATATACAATATTATTACTAATTACTACATATATATGTATTATTATGACAATGTAACTTATATCATTTTATTACATTTACTATCAATATATCATATATTGATTTACATATATAATATATAAATATTATATAGATTTTGTCAGAATAGAACTTTAAATTTGTAGATCATCCAGAACCTATAAATATCATCTTGATCATACTATAACTAAAGTAATTGATAATAATCTATCACTATTTGCTTTCAAAGATATGATATATAATACACATCATATCACAAAGCAGGATTATCTATGAAGGATGTTATCAGATACAAGAAGGAATATATTATTTATATACAAAAATTAATATTGAAATATATAAACATTAATACTTTTAATAACAAAATAAAAACAAAAAAAATTGTATTTACCAAACAAAGTTATTTAATTTGAAAAACAAGAATATATTTAAATGATCTTACCCTACTCAGTATATCAAGAATATCACCAGCGACAGACAGGCCTTCAAAGCCTTCACCGTCCGCAGCAAATTTTACCGTGTGAAGTACATTAAAACACAGAGCTATGAACTCTAACACCAAGCTTGATGTAAATAATTTAGTCACAGGATGTCTCTGGGTTCTGAAAATTGTAAAGAACCAAATATTAATATCAGTAGAACACTAATAAATACAAATAACATTGCTACATATTACCTCACAGCATATATCTGAACAGGTAATAAAATAATATAGCAGAGCCAGAACATTAAATATAATTCTAAAGTATTCTGTCTGTCAAATGAAAACTGATATAACATAGAATTATAAATTGAAAGATTCGGGCTTCCATTAACAAGCCAGAAATCATATTCTAGAGTTTGTGGGATATCTGTGAGAGTAGTGTTGTCCTTTGAAGGAGCTCCAGAGTAATGATGCCAGGAACATGTTTCTTCATCCAAATAACAAGATACTATCGACACATACCAATATCTGAAGTAGAACAAGAAAATAAACATTATGTTATGTATAGGTTTTAAATTGTAAACTAAACTAAGAATATATTTCGAATATTTTCAATACCTTGGTTGTCCGTTATTTTGTATGACATAAGTAAATTGGTTATTTTTAATAACATTCCATGGTGTATCCTCATCGACACATAGTTTGCCTACTGGACACGGTATCCTTCGAAACAAGTCCTGACCATATGCATTGCACTTTGGATGGTATGCTGAACCATTTAAATGTTGAAACATAACCTGACATGCTACTTCTTTATCAAAAATGTCTCGGCTTTTGTAATAATGCAAAAAATGCGGGCGATCTAACACCGCAAACGTAATAGGATATTTAAATGTCTCTTTTGAAGTCAAGTTACCGAAAATGTAACCATATGTTTCCTTGTGGAAATGGAGATCTGTCTTCTGAAATCCAAACTTTACTAAAAATTTAAAGAATGTATCTGTCGTAAATTCTCCTTTTATATGCGTGGGTGAAACGAGTATAAATAACGAGCTGAACGTTAAAATAATAATTTTCATTAACATTTTAACGTTATTATTCTTCTCCTGAACCAAATCAACATTTCTGTTACTCTCTACGTTATCACTGGTCCATCATCATGGGTATATTCACATTTTACATTATCAATCTGTTATAAATATTTGTACTAACACAAACTTGAGATAAATGCTTAGCTTACAGTATAACATTATAGGAAACAGCAGAATGTTTTAGAATCAAACGTCAGATGACAGATACAACATTTCATAGATAGATGAAGTTTATCAACTCCTTTCTACGTAACTTTGATGAAATATGTTGTCCATATTTTAGACGGATTATAATTCTTTTTCAGGATGTGAAGTTTACAGATGTTTATTTAATCAGGAAAAGTAGGGATAATAATTTATGTAAATTTAATAAAATGAAAGTTTTAATTATTTCAAATTCTGATCCGTAATGAAATATCCAATAACTATTACTAGAGAATAGGTATATAAGTCCATAGTAACATTGATAAAAGATTTGCATTTCATTTATTTTTAACAGGGTATGATTATAACTTTCCGAGGACATCAATAACGCCAGCTAATTTAGTAAAGATATTAATCTTAGCTACTTCAGTATTTAGACTGACGTTAAAACCATGGAGATAACTCAATATACGATTCAAATCAGTAGTAATTAAATCGTGCATACTTTTTTTAAACAACTTACTTAACTGAATTATACATTGTCCGTTTATTTGCTGATTTAAAGTTACGGAACCAAAACATCGTAAAGAGATTGTGAGAAACCCCCTTATTATATGATCATTGCCATTTTATAAGTTACCTTCTCTTCATTATATGTATTGCTATACATAATATGGCCCTATTGTTTTTCGAAAACGTCACTAGGGAGAATGGGTCATCCGTTATTGGAACTTTCTTGTCTTGAAACGTAGAGGCCCCATTTAAGCTTGACTCTGTGATGCCGAGTGCCGACCTTTATCTTAGGGCATCGTTGAGCGCGATGTCTATTCTGGGCCTCTATAGGATCCGAATAGACGCGACAGATTTTAAGCTATTATATGCAGTGGTCATTTTTGGAGGAGGGGGTCTATGACCATAATAATGCACTATTTGCTTGGAATAGACCAAAAGTGTAGATATTAAGCCTTATTTTTATTTCTCTACAGTGATTATATATATGAAGAATAAAAAAATAAAGAACTCCTTATAGGATTAGACTCGTGTCAATACTGTTTCCAGAGCTACCCCTCTAAGAATAATAATAATAACTCCTCTAAGAGTCTAGATTTGAGTTGACCAAAGTGATAATGAATTTTTAAGTATTGTTAAGTTTATCCGACCTTAACATTAGCTGCCTAATATTTTTTCTAAGTATGCAAATTACATCTTTTATTAGAGTAACTGTTGAACTGAGTCTCATTTTAAAGGCCAGGGTAGAGTATTCATTGGTTATAGTTTGGTAGTCGAATAGGCACTAGTAGGCCTCGATTCATCACATGTTCTTGGGCTTGTGCCCAGCTTAACCGTAACCGTAAAGCTTTCCAGGACAGAACTGAAGACTCACTGAAGAAACAAGGACGTATTCTTCATCTACGGGGTCAGTGTCAAAGACGTGATGTACTTATAGTGGCAGCCCTTTCTTTGTCGTCATAGTATAAAAGTTCATCTTTCGGAGATGACCTCCATCAACGCCAGATGCCACCATCTGGCATTAATGGAGATTTAAGGTTCAGAACTGTTAGATTTGACCTTTTTTCAGTTCTATTTCAGACTACCCTCTCCCTTCTATGTATGAGAATAACCTTTAGATAATTGTCTACTTTCGCCATGAAATTAATTTCATATAGATTTTGTGGTGGTGTGGTTTGTTTAAGATTTATCTTACTTTCAATTGGTTAAACCATTTATGAGGTATTGGCCGCTTTGAAAGGGTTAGTGATGTCAAGTTTAAGAAATGTAGAGGAGGGAAGAATTGTATATTCGAGAATAATGTTGGCCCATGTAAACATGTTAAAGCTATTTTTTTGTGACTAGAAAAATAAATAATAAAAAATAATTTGTAATTAAATTCATTTTTATTATATAAAAATTCATAGTACAAAAATAAGGATACATTCACATTATATTACAAAAAAGGCTAACGAACAAAATAAATGTTGTTGATAGTCAATGAACCTGCACCTGGTTATATTGCCACAGCAACTTATTTCATTTATTTAAAACCAATATATTATACCAACTGTTCCATACGATTCAAGTGTGACTATTTTTCGTTCACTGCTCTACTATGACATAGTACAATTAATGACTAAAATATTTACATATTTTATCTGCTTTCGTTGGCCAGTTTTCAATAACATTAAATCAAATATACAGTTACTACTAATTAATGAACATTTTTAACTACTTAATATTTGGTGTAGCTTTACAAACACTAAAATAACAATTAAAAATATAATATTTATTTTATAAGAATTTAATTTCTATATTATATTCTTACACTTAAGCCTATTGGATAATTTGTTGATCACAATAGTAATTAATTTTGCTTCATTAAAAAAATGTGCCGGGCCGGGGCATAGTTCCTGATAAATAATAAGATATGTATTAGCATTTTTTTAATAGTAACTAAACTGTTTATATTTCTAGACACATCAAAAAATTAGGTTTAGTTATTAATACATTAGTTACTATGAAGTTATAATGGTTCTTTTATTTAGAATAATAATTTGTATTTCATACCTGTTGCACCTTTTTTAAACTTCTTGAATGTTTTATTGTCTTTTTTATATCTGAAATGTTAAATTAATATTTATTTTCCATACAATATTTTAGAGAAAAAACGTTTACGAACGAACATCTAACGTACTTGCCTTGGTACTTTAGTACATTTTTTTAACAAGTTAGTTAACAATTATCAAATTTTAGTTAACAAATATCTTAATTCTAGAAAACTCGGGGCAATTGTGTCATTATTTTTGACGGTGGTTTTAGAAATGTTAGATAGGGTTACCATTAAAGAGTTTAAACGAACAAAAATAATAAAAATTAACAACATTAACGATAAATGGTTAAGGTTTTTAGGTTTTTCTGGTCGAATTTCAAGGTATTTCTGAAATGATCATAATTTTCCTAACTGCATGGCATAGACTTTCTTTCTGATTTTTCTCATGATGGTTACAACTGACAACCAATCCTGTCACCCCGTTTCAGTTTGATGTTGAGTTTTGGGCCACTCTGTATATTTTGATATAAAAAAGGTCAACTTACGTTTTTTTCACACCAGCCTTGTAAGGTTTTGATTTCCTTGGTCGATAGCTCTTATTATTTCTAAAGGACCTCTGAGGGCTGTCTGTAGAGGGTCCCGCGGTAGGCTCTTCGTCTTCGTAGGCTTCGCTAATTCCCTGGTCTTGTAAAGTCATTTCGATTTCTACGGTGATAAATTATACTCATATAACCAGTTTCTATTAGTTTGTATAACGATTTCTAAATCAAAACATGTATTATGTTGTGGATACAGTTGTAAGTATAGTCGATAGTAAATTTTATGTATCGTCAAGTATTTGACTTGGGTATTTTTTTTGTTGCCAGCTAATGAACCTGTAAATCATTGCTGTTGAGACATTTTTGTCAACTTTTATATGAAACTTCAAAATTTTTATGAATAGGAAACAAAATGTTTTTTTCGGTGAAGAAAGGACATCATCGCTATTTCATACATTTTTGGTCCAAATATTAAAGTGCCGGCCAGAAAAAACAATGCTGTATTCCGTTAGAACTTGTCCCCCTGAGTATTTATTATTATGACACCATAACTGTGAGGTCATTGTCCTTGATTTTATTTTAGTTCAACAATTTTACATCTTCCTCTATACATAGAGAAAGATAGCAGATATGAATGCACTAACTACAGAAGCATTAAGTTGATGTACTATACAATAAAACTGTAAGAGAGATTCATAGACAACCGTCTACTTGCTATGGACCCTCTCCGAAAATCAGTATGGATTTGTGCTGGGTTTGTCAACAACTGACCCGATATTTGCCATGACCATGATAGCTGAAGAATACAGAGCAAAAGAGAAACTTCTTCAGTAGGGCAGTGACAAAAAAGCATGTTAATTCCATTCGTGTGACGGAGATGAAAATGTTAAGGTGGATGTGTGGAGTCACGAGGCTCCACAAGAACCGGAACGTTCCCGTGCATGGTAGCCTCAAGATCAGTGACATCGCTGACAAATTGCAAGAAAACTGGCATGTTAAAAGAAGACCACCACAGTACATAAACAAAAGAACGCTTAACTTCACTTTACTTGGCAAACGACGAAGGGGTAGACCGAGATTACGATGGTTGAGTATTGTCCAAAGAAGATAGTCCAAATGCTGCGGCGATTTTAGAGATTATTCCCCAAAGAATTAATATGCCAAAAAGATTGGCAGATCTTGTAATACGCCATAACTACAATCGCAGACGTGCTCAGTTTAGTTCAATGACTGCAGATATACCAGAGTTCATACATTTTCCAAGAATGGATGAGAATGCCAGAGCCATCAATAACCACTCAAGTTTAAGGATTGGAAAACATTATTGTTGTACCAGACGACGATGATTTTATAGTAATTAATTTAATAATTAAATAAAATATATATTTTATTTATAATCCACAAAAACACAATAGGATCAACATTTCTAAAACAGGTCAAGAACCAATATATCTTACTAAACGATGTTCAAAATAAAAATATGGTAGAAAAAATCATTTGTTTCTGTTTATTAAATTTACTGAAAATGTATGAAGATGTTGAGTTTTTGAACTCCAATAAAACAAAGGATAATGACCCGACAGCTTTGGTGTTATAATAATAAACACTCTGGGGGATAAGTTCTAACGGAATACAGCATATTTTTTCTGGCCGACATTTTCAAATTTGGACCAAAAAAGATGATGTCCTTTGTTTAATGTCGAAATATATAAAACTGGAGAAACATCTATTTAATCTTCTTCTACCTGGCAATTTCCCAGCTTTTACCAGGGTCTCTGCCTTACATGTTGTGAATAGTTTTGGCTTATTGTTTTTACTCTTTTTGAATGCATTAATCAGTGATGTCTAAATACTCTTAGAAAGTACATATGACTCGGAAAAATCACATTGCCAAGTGCCAGGACCAGGATCGAACCCGCGCTCTCGTAAAACAATATGTTTTAAATATTTTCATTAATGTTTTTTGAATACTCACTAATCCTTTCCGTGGAGTACTTAAGAGTGATGGGTAGCAACCGGAAGCCATACTTCGTATAGTTGGCGTTGGTAACGTGAGGTATTTTGAGCATAGCCTCCTCCGTTTCCGGCAGCTTCTCCGCCATGTCACGTAGCGCCATCTGTGGGTACAGCGTCCAAAGCGCCACGCCTGACTCCTTCGCTATATTTCTACAAATACGTTATTATTTCGGATTAATTATTGATTTGGTTTAAGATCGTACTGATACCCTTATAACGAATAGGAATCATCAAACGCCATTCAGATAGTTTCTGGTTTTAAGATGTGGACTTGTGTTAAGGCTACTGTGGCTGAAATCGTTTGAGTCTTTGTTACGTATGCATTTGTCTATGGTTGCGGACTTGCGTATTTGAATGACGTTCCTATCACTCCTTACAATAGCTAAGAGTTTTATACATTGCTTTTTTTTGCCACTTTCCATTAACACTTTGCAACGATCTCAAGAGTCTTATAAGAATCTTTTGATATAAAGATTCCATTCTTTCTTAACATTTCTGCTACTTACTTTATTTCCTCTACGAGTTCTTCATAAGCCTTATCCTCAATTTGTTTAATTTGTTGGTCAACGTCTTGTAGGAGAGGCGCCGCTACCGTGGTGGACAGCTTGTTAGTGGTGTGTGATCGCATAGAGAATATAATTGGTTCAGACTTCGACAACAGCCTGTGGTTAAAGATAAATATGTTGTAGTATTGATAATAATTAATTAAATTGTAAATTTTTAGCATTATTTTAATTGGTCTCCAAAAAAATAAAGTTTTAATTATAGAGAATATTTTTGATTCCATGTTGGAAATCAAAAACAAATTTATGCTGCACTAATTAAATTTTTAGCACTTCAGCTCAGCAATTGACTTATAAACAAAATATTATAATTAAATCAATCAGTAATGAATTCATGAAAAAATAGTAGTGAATTTTAAGGTTACACAAAAAAAAAGTTGTGAAATTTAAGGTGCATATTTTTTCTGATATATTAAAAATATTACTAACTTGTGCACATCAGGTCCTCGAACAAGGTAGCTATTTATCATTTCGTTGTTAACACGGGTTTTCTCAGCTAGGAATTTCTTTGATAGCATGTGTTGTATTAGTCGGACCGCGTCACTCTTAGCCCACGGCTTGCATCTGAGAAAATATTTTGTACAGGTATGTAAAAAAATTACCATAAAACCATAAAAATATTGATAAAAGAAAAGGCATATAAATATTGATAAAAGAAAAGGCACAGAAATATTGATAAATTATTACCTTCCGAATATAGGGCTATCAAACATAGCCTTGAACCGGTTCTGTTTGGATCCTCTCAGTATATCAGCTAGTTGTACTCTGGCGAAGACTCCTTCATGACTGCCGACGAAAGAGACGATCTCCCGACACACGTCCGACACGTCCTGCCGCTAAGGACAGACTGGCTTTAATAATTAAATATTAACCTCTTCTACACACAAATAAAAATCTTAGAACCCAGCGATATGGTCCACAAAAAGAAATGTATGGTTTTAGAGAATTATTTAAATTTACTCAGTGAAAGTTAGATAATATATGTGAGTATTTGTGACTACAATGAAAAGACAAAAATATTTTTTTACATAAGTTTACGTTCATGTTTTAAAGTTATTGTAATATTTTGTTAAGTACGGGTGTTGTATTTAAGTAACAAATTATAACGAGTACCGCCATCTATTGTGTCTGGAACTTATACTAATGTGTCAAATTAAATAAAGGCAGTCGGTAACCGAAAGTGCACGTTTTAATATATAAAGCTTATTATTATATACATTATATTATATATTACATGAAGCTAAACCGCTTCGTAACGTAACGCGTAACGCAACTGAGTCATGTTTAGCTGTCTCTCGCGTATACGGCATCAGTATCACGGCCATGCGGCGCAAATATTCCGAATAGTATTCAATTAATTCATAAACAGACTATGAATTTAAGTTATTAAGTTTATGAGTCAGACAATTTACATATTAAGTAGTTTAAAGTCGATCGTAACGAGACATACAAATATATTTATTATTATACTATTGTATATAAGATTAAAAGCCTGTTATTTTAGTATTATATTATAAATACTAGCTGCGCCCCGCGGTGTTACCCGCGGATTTCCGGGATGTAAATTAGCCTATGTGTTATTCCTGGACGTCAGCTTCCTGTATACAAAATTCTATCAAAATGGTTCAGCCGTTTGAGCGTGAAGAAGTAACAAACATACACACACACTCACAAACTTTCGCAATTATAATATTAGTAGGATATCATACTGTAAACTCGCCCGTCGGTCTTCGTTGACAGTTGTCGCAGAGCCTGGGACCGCAGTTGTCACTTTTGAATATCTCTCCCAAGTATCTAAGTACGAAGGTACGGCGACATTCAAACACGTCCTCACACAACTCAGTGATACGTGAAAGGTTATCATCGTGGACATTCTTCGAATTCTCCTTTAAATTTCTATCACCTAAATAAATTAAAATGTACTTAATAAAATTACTATTCAAATAAGTAGCACATTTTATAGGCTTCATACATTTACATGCATTCTTACTACAAACATTAGTGCAATGAAACAAGATAAATTTATGGTGTTATATTATTGACCGCTAAAATTTTAAGATAATTTGTGCTGTTTTGTATTCATAGCGAATACGAAATCGATGTTACAATTTCCAGAAATCGAAGTTACCTTAGCAGTATGATAAATTAATAACTAAAAAAATAACATAGACTAACGATTATAGAGGTTGCGTTGGCGTACAATGTCTCCGTAACAGTAGAATAAGATACAATCAGCCGGTTTTCCGTCCCTTCCAGCCCGACCCGTCTCCTGGTAGTATGCCTCTATAGACTTCGGTACACTGTGGTGGATGACGAATCTGACGTCACCTTTGTCAACGCCCATTCCGAATGCGAGCGTTGCACAGATCTGAAATTAGGAGATCAAATACATTAAATCTGCCTTGTATCATATAATTGTATAAAAACTTATATAAATCATCATTATTATGACAATTTTCAGCGTCAAATCGATTTTTTTCTTGAGCTAATGGCTTTCAGTTTTTCATTTTTTTTACTTATATATCTTCGAACACGATATTATCTGTGTTAAGTCTATATAAAATTCTTGTTAGCATATAGGTTCACTAGTTCAGTTAAGAAGTTACATAAAAGTCTCAGATACGAATCCTGCTTCGATCATGAAATACATAAATGTATGTCATACCACTTTAATGGTTCCAGCGAGCCATTGCGTCTGTACGTTAGCTCTGACTGTGTCTCCGAGTTGTCCGTGATACGCCTCAGCCGGTATGCCCATCCTTCTTAAATCATCAGCCATATTCTGGCAGTCTTTACATGATAAGCAATACACTATACCGCATTGTCTGTAACAAAATTATTGAATAAATTTATTTAAAACAACTAAAGTGGGCATTTTTGTTATTTATTTTTTGCTGTTGGTTGGAAGGTTGGAATCGACTCCAGTCAGCAATTATCACAGCAGGTGAACGAGTTCTAGGCCTTACTAGGGAGGACGGGTCATTAATAGGGAGACATGGTGGAATGACGAAGTGCAGGAGGTGATTCGTGAAAAGAAGATTGCCTTTAAGGAGTGGCAGTAATCTAACTCTCCTGAAGATAGACTAGAGTACATTCGTACAGCGAAATGTGCCAGTAAAAGGGTTGTGGCCCGTAGTGACAGAATATCACAGTTATATGATACACCTGAAACTGTGGAGGGGCAGATGCTCATTTACAAATTACCCCTATTTAAAAAGGCAGGGGCAGTGTTCAAGATTGTTGTAGTTGTAGGGGCGTTAAGATCATAAGTTACTCTATGAAGCTCTTTGAGCTCATAATCAAAACCTTAGGCTCCGCCGAGAGTGTAGTGTCTTTAAATGTCAATATGGATTTCAGCCAGGATTGGGCACCATGGACGCCATTTTTACCATCAGAACTCTGATGGAGGCATACAGGGAAAAAAGGTGAGTTCTGCATGTCGCTTACTAACTAGGATGCCAAAGGCCGTGAAAAGTGGTGGAGTTTGACTAGGAAGGCAGACCTTGGCTAAGGCTGGGATAATTGCCAAGAAGAATAAGAAAGAAATAATATAATTTCACACATGAACCAAAATGTTTAAGATATACAGGGTGACTGGTAAATTACCATCGATACTTGAGGACGTGATATTTGACGATCATATATGATAAAATAAAAATTAATATAACATAAATATTAATAAACTTCTAAGTAAAGTTAACCAAAAGCTATGTAATTAATTACGCATCGTGTAAACACCCTACAGATTAGGTATACACACACACTCACGCATACGCGTGCGGCGGCGTGGTGTTGAATCCGCACGCCGCCGCACGCGTCCACACTTGGAACACTTGGAACGTGTCAACACTTTATTTATTTATACGGAAATTTTGTCAAAAATTAAGTGCCTATTTTTTTACATAATTCGAATGAGAATCATGTACCGAGTATCCTCCTTAAATATTGATAGTAATTCACCAGTCACCCTGTATATGATTATTTGCTGTATACAACGTGGCCAACATTTTTTGTTCCTAATTTTTTTTTAATACAATTTAAGTGGTATTTGAAAACATACTGATAATATTTCTTTTTGATCAGGTCAGCTATTTCTTTATTAACGAGTTTCGGCCTCTTGTCCGTTATAATTGTGTAAGTGAGATTCGGTCGGTTGAAACTGCTCAGGAACCATTTGCATTCACTCACCTGTGTTAAAAAATATTATAACTTTAGTTAGCTCAATAGTTGCAGTTAATATAAGGGGGTGTATTCAGGGACTTATAGGAAAAGTTTAAATATGTAGTTGAATTACATACAGAAAGTTTCTAGTTATACATTCATAAACCTTTGCACAAAGTATTAACGGGATTTTAGGAACGAAACCCTGGCTTCTCTCGGTGTGTAATTTAATGTAAATTTGTTGTATGTAAGAGTGTGCGTGTGTGTTTGTTTCTCTTTACCTTCAGTTGATACAATATATCGCAGCGCACTCGCTTCGTGGCCGTCGCAGTTAATGCCATTATCGTTACATTAGGGAACTTTTTCTTTAGTAAACCCAACTTTTGATAATCCGGACGGAAGTCGTGACCCCACTGTGACACACAGTGAGCCTCGTCGATTACGAACCTGAAACGTGATTTCAAGAATTACTTATTAACTGTAGGTATCACCGCCAAGAATCCGTTTGATTTTTTTTTGTAAGACGAATAAAATATCATTCAATACCTTTACAATAGGCTAATGCTTATTTTGTGCAAAAAACGGATCGAGGCTTCCACTAAAAGACACCTTTTAGAAAAATTATTTATTTATATTAAAAGGACAAAATTAACTATTGGTGTAAGTGGTGCCATCCGTGTTTCACTAATTATAATATACTATAATCCTTAGAACTATTATCATCGCTGATTATAATAAATCATATACTGAACCATTGTAATTTTGTAATGGTATAGTACATTTAAGTATCAACTAGTATTTGAAAACTATAAATACTGGCTTCAGCATTTTTATAGTACATTACTGGAACACTGAACAATTACAAACAAATTTAAAACTTTACCTCGCACACTTTTAAATGCCAAGTAGTGTAGGGCTTTGGTACTAGCAAATACTAATTACCTTGAAATCTTTCCCTTTTCATACAGTCTTGCTAGAGTTTCTTGGAATTTTGGAGATGATTGTATCTTTTCGGGTGTAACATAGAGCAGTTTGATAGAGGGTTCTTGTTGGTTTAGACCATCATACACGGCATAGCTCTTGGCTTCACTGACATCACTACCTAAACTAGCGGCCGGTATCTGTTGAATGAAATTTAAAATAACTATTATTCAGCATCAAATATATTACATATTTTATCTAAGAGAATGAGCTTCTGAGTTCCACATTTTCATAGTTTAGTCATATTTTAATTCCATAGTTTGCATGTTATATGAAAACAGTTAAATTCAATACTCATAATAATCATATTATACATATATGATAGCGACATTGTTTTATACTCCAGTTATTGTATGTCATAGTGTCATTTGTGATTAATCTTTTTTTTCTTGTATATTTATTTAAAAAAAATAAAAGAATTAGAATTTTAACCATCATGTTCGCTAAGCAACGTAGTGCGTAGTCTTAGTGTGGATGGGTGACCGAAAAAAATCACCAGAACAAATCCTACTTCCATTGAAGGATTTAAGGATGATATTTTTTTAAATTCCAGATATTACACAGGATACTAATAGAATCAATTAAGTTATCGAGATTATAAGGTATTGTAAGAGACAAATAAACTCACATCTAGCGTTAATAACTTGTTGACTTGATCCAATATCAAAGATCTAAGCGGTGATATCACGATAGTGACGCCAGGGGTCAGTATGGCAGGTAGCTGGTAGCACAATGATTTGCCTGTACATGGAACACTTTGTCAGTGTCAGAACACTTTTAAAAGATCGTTTACTTACTAAAATTAATTGGCATATAATATATATAAAATCTTTATATATATAAAAAATTCGTGTCACGTGTTTGTCCGCCATGGACTCCTAAACTACTAAACCGTTTTTAAATTTGATTTGCATTCCGTGTGCATTTTGATCCAACTTGAAAGATCGGATAGCTTACATGTCAATTTAGAGTCAATATTATTTTATTCTAAATTATTTGTCTAATAAAGAAAATTATCTGTCATTATTACAGTTATCTGTTGACTGAGTTAAGTATTCAATAGATGGCACTATGTTAAAAATACAAACGTCATATATAAGCGACTATTTAATAATAGCATAACCACCACTTGTTTCTGAGGCAAAGGCATAACCTAAATTCATTTATTAAAAAAACGTAACAGATATTTCTTGATTATAGGGCGATACGAAGTTCGCCGGGTCTTCGAGTATAATTATAAACAACACGCGATGCCATTAGCAAATTAATATGGAGTGAATACGAGCTGAGTACGACCGGCGGTTTGATAATGTTTTTTACAAGTCCTCGGTCTTTTTAAACTGTATTAGAAGACATGTTACTTATAACCTGAATATTTTACTCGCAATTCAACATTGAATTTGTTGTCACACGAATAGTTGCCTATTAAAAACGCTGTGAAGATTCAAAATGGCATGACGTTGAATTGTCTGCATTCGCGGTGGTCACTATACGTAACTTTGATATACCATCTATATATATATATATATATATATATATATATATATATATATATATATATATATAGTGGGATCAAAATAGATACCGATATTAGGGAGATTGATGAAGACAATCAGACATATATATTACTATTATGTAAGAAACATATTAGATATTTTAATCGATTACTATCAGCGACATCTATCGTCTGTGAACTACTTGCAACCGTTATGGTTTGTTGCCAGCATACGAAACGAAACGTCAAATTATTGCTTTATATAGAAAGTTCGATCAAAATCTGTTCATGAAAATAACAAACTATTAAAAACACTACACCCACTGGACTACCGCTTTCCAACCAAAGAACTTTACAAGAAAACTGATACACTATCTATTGGACAATTATACAAATACAAGACATGCATACTTATAAGAAAAATTCTCTCAGGATCTATACACACACAAAGTACTTTTAAGACTAAATCACATAAATACTATACACGAAATATACATAAATTACAAATACCTAAGTCTAGAACTAAACATTATGGTAACAAAACTATACAATTTGAGGGAACGCTAATTTACAATAATCTACCGAAAGAAATATTTAACGAAAAATCTTTTTTGAAATTTAAGGCTAAATTAAAAACATACTGTCAAACTTTATAATATTTGAATGTTTGTATAAATAAGGTCACCATTAACTTTATAAATGTTTATTATTATGTTACTAGTTTAAGTTTCCTATGTAGGTGAACTTTGTTCTTAATGGGAAATAAATCATCTCTAAACCTAAACATCCATATAACTTCACAAAGTTTCGTATTTATAATATTAGTAAGATAATTATCAATAACAACTCACCCCCGCCGGTTGGCATGAGAACAAAACAGTCGTGGCCTAGAAGCGTTGCGTTTATGACTTGCTTTTGGTTTGGTCTGAAAGAAGTCAAACCAAATTTCTCTTTTAAAGTCTCCATCATAGGGATCGAGTGTGGATAGTCATCTCCGTCAAATTCACCTGAAAATTAACAATATTATATTAAAAAAACATCACATCTGTTTTAAGGGGTTCATCAAGTTCTTGCAGTTTTATTTATTTATTTTAATTACACATACACCGACAAATAATATTTTTGAGATACAAATCACTATAAGTACCTACTAGGTAACGAAAGCATTTGGATACTGAGGCAGAATGTATGGTTGTATGTAATTTATCACATAGCTGTTATCTTACATAAAACGCTAATAACCTTGACCTTGAACCGATTTCCACCAAACATAGCTAAGAACACTCTCGACAGATATACCTTTCGAACAAACAAAAAATTGGACTAAAATCGGTTCACCCGGTTGGGAGCTACGTTGCCTCAGACAGAATACATACACACACTGACACACACACAGACGCGTCAAACTTATAACACCCCGTCGTTTTTGCATCGGAGGTTTAAAAAGGGGTTACGTGAGGCAGAGCTTTCTAAGTCCTAACATATGAATATATTTTTACAACATATGTATATTTTCTGTATACTACAGGAGGTTCGTTGTGACATATTTGTATTCAAAATAAGCAGCTGTTTATCAACTGTTTACGGTTATATTATGCAAAGGCAGTGTTGGCAGGCCAGTAATGCTTCTGTATAATTTTGATAGATGGCACTTGTATCAAATAATAATTAAGATAATTACATATCAACTTCTGTGAACATTTGTATGGAGGTATATCATATATGTATGTGATTTAAATTATGTAAGCATACAGCAAAGTATAGGTTTATTTGTTTTATGCAAGAGTATACAAAGTTTATTCGCTTCTACAGACTGCATGCAACTGTCTAGTAAGGATTTTGATGTAACTTTAATTTTTTTGTGTATGCAAAGTATAAATATTATAATACCTGTGATTCCATCGTTTCTAGTATCACCAAACTCTCCTATACTCTTGTCGTGAAGATTTCTTTGTACAGGCAAAGGTTCGTTGGATGTTATAGTAGAATTTTCATTATTTATATTAGTTGTTGTATTTGAAACTTCATTGTTTGACAAACTATTCTCTAAATCCAAGGGTTCTTTGAAATGTTCTGACCATTCATCTTGAAAATTATCATCCTCAAATGCATCAAAGTCATCGAATTCTATATCTGAATTGTTAGATATATCGTTAATATTATTTACTTTGGACTCAGAGTTAATTTGGTTAGTGGTAGCGGTGTTTAAATCTTTTGATTCATTCAAAGCTTCAGTCTCAATGTGTCTGGAAGTCTCGGACTGATAGTCTATAGTGTTGGTTCCATCGACATCACCTTCTTGTAAATTATGTTTATTATAAAATTCTAATGAATAACAACGAGTTTTAAAAACGCCGGGATGTGAGGGTAGTTTGAAGACAAAGCTTCGTTTCCGTCCATTACTGGAATTATCTGATTCAGAAGATTGTTTAGTGATTTTTTGCTGATGGTTTATTGAATCAGATAATATAGTCGCCTGAACATGAACATCAATATTGCCCTCCACATTCTCCTCATTTTCTGCTATATTTGTAGGTGCAAGTGTCATATCATCTATACTATTTAATAAGTTCATACTCTCAGGTGATAACTTGTTATTAAAATCAACATTTTCTTGTGCTGAAACATTTCGGAGTTTCTCTTTGAAGGTAAAAATTGAAATGCAACTTTTTCTTTCATATTCAGGTAATTTGTTAATTAAAACATATAACACATCACTCAGTTTCTCTAATACTTCTATGTACATTTTTTTGCATTCATTTGTTTCATTGAAAGTGTATATCCGACCTTCCTTAAAAGTAAAATATATTTTTTAAATGAGATAAAAATATAGCTTGCTTATAACTATAGAGTAGACACAAGTATATACAAGTATATACAAATACATACATATCTATTAAGAAAAGAAAGGATTTTAATGGGATAAATAATAACTTGAATCATTAGGTTTACATTTAAATACCGAACACATAACAAACATTAATGAATACAAACATTTTTTAAACCTAAAAATATTCAAGACCAAGTGTGGGACATTTAATTATTTTTATTATAAAAACTTACTCACTTTAATCTGTGAATAGAGAGGATGTGAAACTATTTTTTTGTTAAAATCTGATAAGTCTCTTAGTGGGTTGTTATCCATTGTTTATAATATATTTTTCCATAAGATCAGGATTTGTTGGCGTTGAGTTTCTAGAACTGGAAATATATAAACATAATTAAAGATTTAAATATAACTAATAATGAAATTTGTTACTAGGTTCTTGTGGGTAGTTAATTATTTTTCTGGTTCAAAATATTTTGTTTGGATTATGAAAGTAAAAATCAAAAAAACTGTTGAAGCTCTCCCTAAGAGGTTTCGTCTTGTCTCTCTTACATATTCAACTTATAAAAAAAATAAGTAACATAGGACTTTATTTTTATTTAATAAATAACAGTATTTAATCATTGTTTATAACCTGTACCTACTCATCTATTTAATTAAGATTCAGTATTTTTGAGTATACCCATAGAAAATATAAGTTTATAAGAAAAAAATCTTATTTATTAAAAGATTCTATATAAATGTTATTCACTTGGATATACGTTTTAAAAATAAAAACAATATTTTTCTCAGAAGTTTTACTAAAATTATGATTTTTTTCTCCTTTATTAGTACCTCAACATTGCTACATATATTTGTTTTTTGAAATCTAGATGATTTATTATTTAAATTTATTTGTATAGGATGGCCTTTAAACTTTTCTTTTCATTAACATTTTGCTTGAAGATTTAATTGCTCGTGGAAAAATATATAACAAATTTTACTAAAACCTTTTTATTTAACCTTAATCAGAAAATTTGAAGTAAACTTCGGTAACTTGTCTAAGGAAAAACCCGGCAACAATTTATTTTTGGTGATCTCAACTCTGCTGTCCCAATTGAGTCAAATATTTTTCTAAAACAACATTCACTTAGTAGGTTAAGTATAATTGAGTAATGAAATGTTATTTCTTAGTCACGAGAAATAAATATCAACGAAATTGTAAATATCACAATTCACAAGTTAAATGAAATTTCACATTTGACAAGTTGACAACTAGAAGTTGTATCCGGTACCACAGATTGATTATATACACAGAATATAAAATCTTAGCAATTAAATATTCGATGTGTTTTGATCTCCTATCCGATAACGGATAAACCAACCTGGTAATTTGGAGAATTTCCTAAAGCACAGGCCAGGAATTAGGTAAGAGGTTTGTCTATTAACATTTTCATAATCTTTTCATAAGACTTCTCGCAACATACTTATGGTTATGGTTTCAATACTTATATCGATAACAAGATAACAACAGTACTTGAATATGATTTTTGTCGTCTGTCTGCTAGTTAGCGGTTTAGGAATTTTGAATCAAAAATGTGTGGATCTATTGAATTGAAATTATTACGGATAACGACGAATAATTTTGCTAATTTGATATATTTTGACGAAATAAGAATTCGACTTTTGTTCAAGCGGTGAAAGGTTTTATACCTACCCCTCCGTCTAGGGGAGACAGAGGATCTTATGTGGGATTCACGGGTCAGAAGGGCCCATGCTAACCACTTAAATACCAGCGGTCACTCTCCGTCGCCGACAGGTGGATCGCCACGACAATCGCCGAAGTATGCATCTGCGACGATCCGACGACGGGCCGCGAACGGCCACCGACCGACCACAAGCGAACTGAAGCCTCCGGAGAGACTCGAGCATTCCCTCCCCCCCCAAGACAGCCACGGACGGCCTCCTGCCAGATTCGTGACCGTCTGACTCCCAGGGCTGTAGCCCCAGCCCTCCCCCCTGTGACTGATTGCACCGGAATACTCCAGTGTGTGATGGGGTCGTCACGTCCCGACTCCGAAAAATAAAAATTCGACTGCTCTAATCACAGCAATCTCATTTTTTTAGCTGTATGAATTACTAAATGGTTTTATAAGATCAGTATCACATAATAGTTTTCATCTTGAATGTTCTATAACTTATTCCTATATCTTTCTTGCAAACTATAGGGATATTACCAAGCATACCAGCATATATTCCCTTACCCTGAACAGTGAATAAGCAGATGGACAGTGTTACGTCATATATAAGACATTGCCTCCAATACCATATCTGAAGAATAGCGCAATCTATTCATTACAGTACCTATTCCAAAAGATATCATTTATGTTGAGGAAACGTGACACTAAACATTCATGGGACTGGAATGCTGTTAATAGTCAGATTTGAAACTTAATCCATGAGAAAAGTTAAGAGCTTTTCGTATTAAAGTTACGCAAGTCTATATATACTTTAGATAAAGGAAAGAAATATTAGTAATTTATTTGAATAGAAAAATTTATTCATACGGATGCAAATTTATTTCACTAGTAAGGCAACATGGCCATTGTTTGGTCTTTATTCGAGTTGTCAAACTCGCACGTAGTTATTAACAGTCTTCTTAACTTACCAAATGATCTGGAACAGTTTTATCTGTATCTAAGAATTTCAAGAAATATCACTTATAAAACTTTTGCCTTGATCTTATTGTTAATTCGTTCTGTTTAATTTCCAACTTAATTTATTGTTAAAGGTCTGGCTTTGGCTGTGGTCTTATTTGTTTTGAGAACTTGCTTTAGTGAGACCAAATTATTTTTTAGACACAATATTAAGTTGTAGAGAAACTGTTAAACAGACTACCGTGATATCGACACTATTGTGATATCACCACTTACACCATTGATATTGGATCAAGTCAACAAGTTGAAAGATATGATTCAATGTGCATAATATGCACGATATATATATGTATATATGTAGTGCAAGAATGTTTTAATAATAACTATATTAGTGTTTATAATCTAGAAGGAAACTGGAGGAAGACCAAAGTAAGGAGTGTCGGAGGGGTTTAAAAGGAGAAAAGAAAGAAAAGTGCAGAAAAATATGCATACTTGGATCTAAGATACTGACAATTCGAAATTATTAACTGCAGTTAAATGTACCTAAAGAATAAGCATACTGTACATTACCTGGTAAATTCATGATGACGTACATAAAATCTCTCCGTTAAAGTAATAATCGAATAAACATAATATTTTTTTTATTTATCTTCCTCCTTTTAAATTTCTATGATATGATAATGTATTTCTAAAACTTTCATTGACATTTAGTGCACCTCATAAAATTGTGGTTATTTGTTTTAAAGACTCAATTAATACCAACAACTATATAAATACGAGGATAGTTATAATGAAAAACAAAAATGATAAATAAAATAATTTACTATTCTTTTAACATTAACTTAACATATATCAAAAAAGCTTTTGGCTAGCTCAGCCTAGACTAACATAATATTCCTAATTCAAGGTTCTATCTTCTTACATCCAACCAGCCTTAGTGGTTCATCAGGCAAAATTAAGGTTAATAATAGAGATAAAAACAATTTTTAAAGTTGAACATAATTACAGAGTTACGGAATATGATAAAAATCAGTTAGTCAGTCTCAGAATTTATGCGGAATACATCGTGACATCACATCCAAGTATTTAAGATCTATTCAAGATGGAGGCGATATTGTTTAAAAGCGTAACTCAATTTTAATTTTATATTAAACCTAATTTTTATTTATTTTTATTATATAAATTATTTAAAAAAATGTCATAGCTTTATTATTAAATAATAATAACAGCATAAATAAGTATTACATTAAGTGTAATTATATTAATTGTTGTACTATCAGGTACCTTATTTGTGCAGTTAATACACATAAATTAAAATATAATTTATAAAATACTTTTATTAAGAACTCATTTCACCAGCTGAAAACTGCCAAAAAGTAGCCTATATTATATAAATAGAAAATATTTAAATAGCAACATTTTGAATACCGGCATGTGACCAAGAAATACCAAAAGGCAGTCACCACCCCTCACTAGAAGGTCGTAGATATTTGAAAATGCTGTTCTGTAAATAAAAATTAAAAACACATAGTGATAACAAAATTTAAAGCTCTGTTTAGGGACGAAGCTCGAATAAAGGAATTTTTATCAGCATTGAATTATACACTTTATAATTTAAAAGAATCGCGTCAAAATATAATGTACTAACAATGTGCAATCAGATTTTTGTGATTGTTATAAATACTCAAATAAATATTATATTTAAAATGTATATCATTCCTATCGTGTTACAGTGTACCAAACATACAACAGTATATGGACTACGCCATATACTAGCCAAACTCCAAATACCAATCGTTTGTATGTCAGTTTGAGTCGTGTCACAGCCCAACCTTTTGCTAATAAAAGCAGGAGTAGCATAAACAGTGTCTGAAAGAGATAATATTGTTTTAAAATTTATTACTAACTAGCCGTAACTGAAGTGCTTCACATATTAAATCACAAATTTTTTAAATTTTCTTTGTTAACAACAACTCCTGTAATCAATATTGGAGATGAGTTATTACAAAATTCTATCATAGATATTTTCTACATCACATATACAAGATTTATATCTAATTTGCATCATGTAAGAGCTACATTTTACAAATGACTTTTTTTTATTGTTGACTTCCTTTTAAAACTCTTGTAGGGGGAATTTCGTAAAGTTCAATCATAACTGACATCTACTCGGCGACATTAATATTCCTATCTTTCAAGTTTCTAAGTTTTATGGCTCTAGATCCATATCAATACCATTATTGAGTCAATATATTGTTGGAAGTTCATTATGTTTATATACAATATTATTACTAATTACAACATATGTATGTAGGTATCCCTACTAATATTATAAATGCGAAAGTAACTCTGTCTGTCTGTCTGTCTGTCTGTCTGTCTGCTACGCTTTCACGCCTAAACCACTGAACTGATTTTAATGAAATTCGGTACAGAGATAGAGTTAATCTTGAGAAAGAACATAGGATAGTTTTTATCCCAGACTTTTGAAAGGTTCTCTTGGAAACGCGATATAACCGAACTCCACGCGGCGAAGCTGCGGGCGGAAAGCTAGTCTTCTATATATATAAAAATGGATTGCTGTTCCTTAGTCTCGCTAAAACTCAAGAACGACTGAACTGATTTGGCTAATTTTAGTCTTGAAATACTCCTGGAAGTCCAGGGAAGGTTTAAAAGGTGAGAAAAATTTGAATAATTGCCGGGAAAACTCTAAAAACAGCCCTTTTCTATTTCCCATACAA